AAATGTCTTTTAATATCGAATAATGTAAGACCTTGCATGTGGGGCATATCAGTGCACAACACAACTTCTGCAGCAGATCGATGAAGAAGGGACCTTGTAGTTGGAATCAACCAATGAAAGTCGCACAAGTGGGAGGGAATTATCAGGATAAAGGGCTTAGCCATTACGACTATACAGCACTTGGAAGGGCTCAGGGTAAGGATTTAGGATGGGACGGGGGGAAAGGAATGGTGCCCAACCACTTGGACGGTTGACGATTGAACGCAAATCTGCATGAAGCGAGACCGTCGCTCTACCGTCCACAAGGTCCTTTCCTTCGTCGATCTGCTGAAAAAGTTGTGTTGTGCACTGATATGCCCCACATGCAAGGTCTTGCATTATTCGATATGTGGCCGATCTCGAACCCATTGATGATGTGACGACGTATATTGAATTTTGTAACTGGCTCATTAAGATTGTAGCTTAGCTAAATGAATTGCGGTCCATGAGCCCATTATGTGCCTCTGTAACCCCTTTCCACTTCCGCCCACAAGATGGGTATGGGGTGCATAATGAATGAACTAAACTAAAAAAGGAAACTTTGATTTAAAGATAAAGAAGGTAGTTGTATAACTATAAGTATCTGGAGCGTCATAATAAAAGGAAAATAAATTCTAAAACTAAGTTTGACTCCCATCGCCCAACCACTTGAACTGGACAATAGAGCGACGGTCTCGCTTCATGAAGGTCGGTGTTCAATCCCCGACCATCCAAGTGGTTGGGCACCATTCCTTCCCCCCGTCCCATCCCAAATCCTTATCCTGACCCCTTCCAAGTGCTATATAGTCGTAATGGCTTGGCGCTTTTTCCTGATAGTTCCCTTCCCTATCTCATACCAGGAACGGTAGAGGGCCACAGGACTAACAATACTACAAACCAGACATGAGAAGGGTGATCTCACCGAACCTTTTAAAATACAGAACAATTTGAAGGATATTGATATAAACAACTTCTTTAAAATGTCAGATGTGACAGAAACAAGGAGCAACGGTTTCAAGCTCAACAAACCACAATACTGAACAGAACATGAGATACCTTTTCACTCATAGGATTGTGAATTAAACCCCTAGAACCGCCTACCCGCCAAAGCCTTAACTCCCAAAACTGCTGAATTTCAAAATCCAGCCTGGTAAAATCGTTAGGACAAGTTGGGGAACATTTGACGAGCCGCCGGCTTCCTGTCCTCCTCGAGACCACTAGAGATATATAGTGATCCCGATTGATTAATTGATGAAGATTAAGCCACCCAAAAGGTGGCACGGGCATGAATAGCCCGTAAGTGGTGACCCTTTTGAGCCATTACCAGTATCAATAGATGATACTGGAGATCTGTGGAGGTGCGACTGCACCCTGCGTGACGGGAGATGTCTTTCCCGTGGCGTGATCCCTTGGTAAATAACTCTTTATACTCATGCTTTCTGCCATTTGAGTGTCAGTGACTGGTCTTCTGCCATCCCTAATTTCCTGGAATACTACGGTTTTTACAACACAGATTAAAGCGCCCAGATCACTGGTTTCCAAACTTGGGGCCATGGAAATGTAGTTGAGGCAGTTAACAGGTTATAATACCAGAGGGTGTCATTACTGAGTATAAGGAGCCATTAATTTAATATAATAAGGACGTTTCGTGAAAAAGGGGTAATATGGCCGTAAAGAGTTTGGGACCCGATGACCTAGATCTAACTTATTACATGCAGTTTTAGCTGCACTGACAGTGTCATCATGCTGGACAACACCTGTGTGAGATAGCATCCATGCAAATTGGACTGAAATTCTTGCTCTATGTATTAATAGGTTTGTAGAATGGATGCTTCTCTTGACAACACGCAAAGACAGCTCTCTTCTCCACTACTACAGTTTGCACCATGATCACCAACACTAGCATATGATCACCACTAGCACCATGACCAGTAAAAATCACAATGGAAACAAATTATTACCAAGAGCAATTAACTGTCCCTTCAAACCACCTGGATAGTTATCTAGATATTTGTGATAGTCTGAAAGCATATTACAGTTTCAGTAATAGTCTACTTGTTAACTGGCAACTGAACCTTTGTCCTAATCAGGGATTATTCTCATGTTATAACTTTATTGCTTTATAAATTGTTGGTTTAAACTATAAACAGTGTATGATGAACACCTTTTCTTTCAAGAATTAGGATTTCTATAAGCGAAATTCAAGGTTACAACTTAAATGGTTTTCGAATTCCATATTTAACGTTTTGGATAATATTACACCGTATTAACGTAACCAAACAGAATAAAAAGTAACCTAACGTAATGAAACCTAAAGAAACCAAACCATAATCTAAAGTAACCTTAACCTAACCTAACCATGGATAGAGAGAGTAGATAATAGCAGTAATTATATAGTCGTTGCGAATCCATTACCAGGAGTGGATTAACTCCCTGAGGACAAGTTGCACTATTCATAAGCGATTTAGCCAATTGTGTTACTATATTTGCTGGATGTAACATGTCTTACGCGTGTCGGTGATTAGGCTTCGACATACCAGTTACTACTGCACTTTCTCTCAATTTCACTTTTTTGCTGTTAGTCGCTTATTTAATCTTTTGATATTAATACAGTATTCAAATTTTCTTCTCATTAGCACAAGTTAAGATTTGCCAGTTCTTGGTTATCCATGTACTCAAAAAGAAATTAGGGCACTCAAGTTTTCTCCGATATGGCGGACAATTGCCAATCAAGAAATATAATTACTTGTGGTTTGCCTGTGGCCGGTTTTGAGAGTTCTTCTACTCTCACAAACTTGTGAGTTCTTCTACTCATAAGTTCACACGAGCTCACAAGTTCTTCTACTCACAAGTTCTCACGAACGTGTGAGTTCTTCTGCTCTACAGGCATTTTTAGTGACAACTTGAGGGGTAAGACTGTTCATTTGCTTGCAGCAGCCTGGAAGTTCAGTAGCGAGTGCTGATCCGATATGTTCTACTAGAATATATTGAATTATCTTTAAATTTTCAACCTTTTTTTCTGTGAATGTTATATTTGCTAGAAGGTTGAAAAGTCATGAGTCTTTGATGTTCATACAGTGTTCTATGATAGTGGTTATGTTACCTCTACTCTTCATTGGGTCAATTCAGCACTTCCTACCACATCTTTTGCTCCAACAAGTTATTTAATTATGCAGATTGGCTACATGACCTTTGAGTATCTTACATGTACTATATATATTATGCGATCTCTATTCATTTCTGCTCCAGAATGCATAATGAAGGGAAGGGAACTATCAGGGGAAAGCGCCAAGCCATTACGACTATATAGCACCAAGTGCCTAACCACTTGGATGGTCGGGGATTGAACGCCGACCTGCATCAAGCGAGACCGTCGCTCTACCGTCCAGCCCAAGTGGTCGGGACAGAGTGCATAATGAGTGTTTTGAAAGTCCCATTAAATTAGATATTTTATTGCGTCCATGCAGTCATACGTTGCAACCTATCCTCCTGTTTACATAGTACCTATTGTGATGATCGTCAATGGTCGGAATTCGTACGTTCTTAGCTTTTAGATAGTATACTGACTAGTTACGAATTCTTTTAAAATAGATAAAGCTAAAACCCAAACGTAAATATTCCTATGCCTAGTATAACACACATATGTACTATATTAGGCCTCAGATATCGTGTATTAGGCCTAGGGAGGTTAGGAGAGGTTAGTTTAGTCTGTCAAAGCAACACAAGTAAAAAAATATAGTTTTCCGGTTTGTCCAACTCAATAGTTCAGATTTCTACGTTCTAATGTCGTTGTACGTCGGTATATATTCTATGGCCCTCATCGTTATTAAAAGTACTACCCAAACAGGAGGATGGGCTGTCTCTGTACACTTTCTTTTTCAGATATCTCTTGGACTTTTGTGATCTTGAATGGGTAGGAGAGCACAGAGAAGCATTCCAGGCAGAACAATACAAGTGATTTGAAAATTAGAAGCATTTAGAGTGGCATCTCTGGATTTGAAAGTTCTCATAATCCACTACATAACTTTTCTGGTTAATACTAAGTTTTTGTATCATGTTCGCTAAATGCTAGGTAATTGTTATACATGTTCACTCCATTTTAGAAGATCTAACTGTCTTTGTATCATGTATCCAGCTAGGAGTTTTATTTTTTCCTTATCTTGGAATTTGTCAGTGTTGAAACTTATGGACGGCTGAGTGGACAGCGCTCAGGGTTCGTACTCCTAAGGGTCCGGGTTCAATCCCCAGCGGAGGCGGAAACAAATGTGCTGAGTTTCTTTCACCCAGATGCGCCTGTTCACCTAGCAGTAAATAGGTGCCTTGGAGTTAGATAGCTGTTACGGGCTGTTTTCTGGGAATGTATGAGAAAATTAGGATTAAGGACTTGCCCGAAATGCTATGCATGCTAGTGGCTGTACAAGAATGTAAGAACTCTTGTACTGTATATATAAATGAACTAAAATAAAACATCAAAAATATTGCCCAGGTGAAACTTAGTTGGTCTCTGTAGTTTTCAGTTTCTTCTGGCAAAGTTTTCATGCTGATTTTACTATCTGCAAAGGATCGGGTATTTTTCTAGTATGTAGGTGCAAGACTTAGGGTTAAGGATGGTTTTCTATTGGATGTTTTTTGGTTCAGTATTTTTCCCCAGTATATTCAATTATTTAAATTTAATTTACTGAATTGCCCTTCATGCTTATTACTTAGTTCTGGTATATGTCATGTATTAAAGGTTTGTTTGGACTTCAGTGTCCAACTGATATGCATATTAGTATACATACTAATATTGGTATGCAATATTTGTGGTTATATTGTTCCTGATTATTTCTTCGTTATGGATAATGGTGAAACTTTTTTTAATTGAATGGTACAAAAGCAGGAACTAAACTTTATTACTTTTTTGTTTGTAAGCAAATCTCTCCTCATAGCAACTTATTTTAAGTTATTCTCCTTGGTCAATAATTTTATACCACAAAGAAAAGGATGTTTCCATATTTTATTCCATAAAAATGGGACAGAATTATTTTTTTGTAAACCAGATGAATTATGAAAGAAACCAAAACTTACAGGATCTGTAAAATACAATGTCAATGATGAACCCACATGCAAACACTCAACACTGTCTTAATGCACGAAACATACTTCACATGTCGGACACTTGCGTGTAATTATAATACACAATTATAATACACAAGCAAACTGTGATACAAGGATTTAAAGAGAGGTCAGATATGTACTGTACAGTACTTATAATGAAATGCTATTACTTTATGAAGATACTTTAATATATGGTATGGCATGTACAAAAATTACTAAATATATTACTCTGAACATGAAAATTTCTTTTACTGTATTTCATTTGATGATATATGATTAATGCAATGTTGGAATATCAAATTATCTTTCACCACTGAGATGGTAGTATTGCATCATAAGTACACCTCTTGCATTCATAACTTGAAGTTATGCTATTTTGTGGAAGAAAGAAATACTGGACAAGGATAATTATCAGGTACCATGGAATATCTTCATCACATATTTAAACATTTAAGGGGGGGGGGATTAGCATTCTTGCCATAGACAAATACAATACAAATATGTTATAATGTTTATTTAACATTGCAAGTTAATTTTGCAAAGTTAAATAAACAGAGCATTTCTTAATGATGGACAAGATCAACAAATACTCATTTAACAGGTTGATATAAATCAACTGGAATATTTGAAGAAAAACTATAATGTTTATCACATGTTACACATCATTATGTTCATACAGTTACTGACAATCTTATTACCTAATGAAGATGGCATGTTCCATAAATTATATTGTCAAAATTAGCATTTGATTATGAGTACATTCAACATTCAAAAATGACTTGACCAATATTAATGAATTCAGTTTCTTCAATATCCATGGCTACAAAACCTTTATCAATGAGTCAGATGAAGATCTCACCTATACAATTACAGATGAATATTTAACTGATATCCATCACAGGTAACATAATTAAATAATAAAACAACGAAGAAAAGGAAAGCATACTATGAAACAAACCCTTCCACTTCTTTTCGATTTCATACAAATTAAATATGATACATAACACTTGTCAATAATTATTTTATACACTGTGAACTTGAATTAAATATAATAACAACCTCCAATATGGATTTTAATAATGATCATCATCTTTTACAAGATAAGTGATATATATAAATATCTGTAATTCCTATTTCACATACTCAATGACATTTTCAACCCAGTTAATTTTATCGCTAAATAAAGATGACGTGTGGTCCAAATATAATAGTAACACACTAGATCCGTCAGTCATAATGAAGCCCAGAATACAGGATTATCCACATAACCTGCAATAAAGAATTAAGTATGTATTAGTACACAGTAAATATTAGTAGAAGGGAAAGACTGCAAAATCATTTAGATAAGTTTATCTCAATTCCATTAGTATCCTAAATTACATGCATTTATATGTCTTTGAACTACATATCCAAGATATGATTTTCAATTGGATTTAAAAGCCATTAAAGTACCCATCTAAAAAAAAAAGTCAGTCAGTCATTCTGTAATACCTGCACCTTGAACTTGTTCAACTCAGCCATATTTTATGTTTATTACAGTACTCTGATCATAAATACTAGTTAACACCTTAAAATAATTAAAGTGCAGTAATGTATTCCTCAAATGTATCTCAGTGCAACAGTAGTCCAGATACGACACTGGATTTACAATCCTTGTGTACCTCAACTGTTTAGTTTAGTGTCTGGATAAAATGACTTTAGTAACAAGCTAGCACACTGAAATATATCACAAGGTCAAGACATGTTAATATAAACTCTGTATTAAGCTTGTGAACCCTCTTTTTCTGCTTCTACTGTTTTAACTACCTGTGGTCAAATCAAAAACTTTATTCATAAATGGTTGTACATTTATAACTGGGAAAGTTTGCATAAAAAGTACAGTGCATTATTACATAAGTGTCAAAATAACATCCTATCCTAAATACAGTACAATACAATTATCACTGTAATCATTCACCTGATTCTTCCCTATTTTACCTTGCATTTTTGTAACTCTTTCATTTACCCTTCCAATAGAACCATCCCTAACTTGGACAGACTAATTCCCTTTTATTTTTACAAATTACTCTGACATTCAAGACTTAGGCACATTTAACCTCATTTAATACCAAAACATACAGGCACATGAATATGCAAAGACAGTCCATTCTCATAACATTTCTCCAATCGCATTTTTTTTTTTGCAGGGATAAATCCAATCACATGATCATCTGCATGGTGTCCTGACCATTTAACCATACATTTACCATTCAATTTTAAACTTTATATAAAATTATCAATATCTTATAGTGTACAAGGAAATTCAAGCCTATCATGACAATAAAACCATACAAATTTCGTTATCTGAAAAAAAAACTAGGATGTATTAAAATTTGTTTCATAACTATTTTAGCCATTTCTCCTGATTATTTTGGGGATTATAATTTATTTTCCAAGACCATTTTGCATTCTTGATTACCAAATGTTAATTACTGTACCAATAAACCTGCCTTCAGCCAAAATTAAGTTCTCAACATTTTTTTTTAATTTTTAGGAACTAAATTTTTGGGTTGAAACTCCTGTTCATGTTGGCAAAAATCAGACTATTTTTCTTTTCAACTATATTTTACCCATTTTTTCCACAGGCTGATGCCTCCTTACCCTATGACAGGAAAATAGGGTAGGGAGGCATGAATGATAAAGCATCATTCATGCTTTATCATTAAAGCATGAATGATGAACAATGTATTTTTGTGAATTCAGCCCTCAAAGATTATCCATCAAATAGTCTGAGTAACTTTGACAAAACACCCAAAGAATAGGTGTTTAGTCAATATACAGAATAATGTGGCATGATCAGTTAAGGCAACACCGTCTCGGATGAAGGGATGGCCCCAGTCAGTGGGGTTCAATACTCATGTAAAGTGAGTGTTTTCATATATATCACTCAAATTCAAGCACAGTTCACATTTTAAACAAAATGTGTACTGTGCTGATGGTTGCCTCAGCAAGCATACATAAGAGGGAAAGTTGAAAAGAAACAAAAATGGAAGATAAGCACATGCTTATTAATAAATAAATAAATAAATACAAATTAAAACAGTGCACCAACTGGTGATGCAGTGGGGTAAAAAAAAAAAAACAACAACTTACAAACTAATACTGTATTCACAATGGTATCCACCATTCCTGCATCCCCGTCCCATCCCAAATCCTTATCCTGATCCCTTCCAAGTGCTATATAGTTTTAATGGCTTGGTGCTTTCCCCTGATAGTTCAATTCAACTATAAATACAGCACTTAATGTTACTGTGGTAGCATGTGGGCTTTGTACATCTTTTTGTAGTGTTTCAATATGTAATCTGACAAATGGTCTATTATCTACATGTAAAAGATACATAATAAAACAGTTTACTGTATATCATGCAGATTCTAGGAAAAAATGCATATTTTAGGGTATACAGTATATCACTTACCAAAAAACCAGCAAATGATGTGACAAAGCCTTCTTTAGTAAGTTCCCACATTCCTCCAAATTCTTCTTCATCAACACCTTGGAAACTTGATGCATAGAAGTATATTAGGGCAGCATTAATCACACAAAACCTGTCAATAAATCAGCTTTATAAATCATAATGAGGTGCAGTGTTCAATGAGAAACAGAGTGGACTTGGTATGCCAAAACTCTTGAATGATACAGCACACTAAAGAACATTTAAAATATTACTACAGTAAAATTGTCATCCACACTTTCGTGGAAATAAACATCGCATTCGCCCAAGCATACCGTATTTGCCGGCGTACAAGATGCTCTGTTTTTTTCATTTTTAAATGTATAAAAAAATTACCCTCCATCTAATGCGGCTGTATTACGGATGTGAGACCGAGCGCCATAAGCTAGGGAGCAGGGTGAGCATACTGGGTAAGTAACGCTAGGCACAAAAATTTTTGCTAATAAAATATTGAAAACAAGCCAAATTATTAAAGTAAATTGTGTTACTAATACTGTTACTAATACTGTGTTGGGTAACTGGCTGGCTGGCAGGCTGGAGTGGGGATGGGCAGGTGAACTGGCTGGCTAGTGGGCAAACAGGTGAACTGGCTGGCTAGTGGGCGGGCAGGTGGACTGGCTGGCTAGTGGGCAGGCAGGGTGGGTGGATGGATGGATGGATTGGTCGCTGACTGGCAAATGGGTGGGGTAGAAGGACTGGTGGTTGACTGGTGAGGAATAGACAGGCGGGCAGACAGGGTTGATGGCTGGAAGGGTGGGTGGGAAGGAATAAAGGTGGCTGACTTTGGGCAGGAAGGCAGGCAGGGTTAGCAGATGGGTGGGTGGATGGATGGATTGGTGGTTGACTGACAGGGGGGGGGGAGCAGGCTGGCTGGGTGGGCAGGTGGTTGGATTGGTAGGTAATTGGATAGATTTGTGGCTGGCTGGAAATTTGGATTTGTGGTATGTATATTGGGGTGGGTATAAATCATGGGCAGGTGGGCTGGCTGGCTGGGCAGGTAGGTAGACTGGCTGGGTGAGTTTGGATGGATGGATTGGTGGCTGACTGGTGGGCAGGCAGGGTGGGTGGGTTTTGTGGTGGGATAGGTTGGTTGGTGGATGTGCTGGCTTTTCAGACGGGCTGGGTGGGTTTGGGCGGGCAGGCGGCTATTCAGGCGGGTGGGCGTTGGGTTTGGGCGGGCAGGCGGCTATTCAGGCGGGTGGGCGTTGGGTTTGGGCGGGCAGGCGGCTATTCAGGCGGGTGGGCGTTAGGTTCGGGAAGGGCTGGCTTTGTGTTGGTTTGGGCAGGTTGGTTATTCTGGGTTTGACTGGCAGGGTGGCAGGCAGACTGACTGTGGTCATGCCTGATCCACCCCTCAGCTCCCCAATCCCCGCTACATCCTAACCCCCCCCCAATCCCCATACTGAACCCTCCCATAAATATCCCCCACACCTCCAGCTGCGTCTAGATGATTGGTATGGGATGGATTAATACGGTTCAGATTCTCGGCTTCCTTTCTACCAGATGGTGGCCTTGGTGTTCTGTAAACAACACATGTTTACAAACTGTGATTGATTGCTACCACAACTGTGAATGCCTAACTACCTTTGATTATGACTAACTGTGAATGCCTGCCTGTGACTTGACCATGGCTGCCTCTAACTGGTTGTGACTGACTAGCTCTGACTACACGCTGCATAACAGCAGTAGTGAAACCTGTGAAGGAAAAATGGTGCGCCACCACTGGGTGTGCTGCCCTGGTGACATGTCGTGGTAACACAAAGCATCACATCCTGTATAGCAATTCTCTTGCCTAAAATATAAACAACTATACAGCTGATCTAAGAGGAGGTAAGAGTTGGGGGTACAAAAACCACTTTAAAACATCTTTCAATAAATGTATGATGAAACATACTAAAATAGCTTTTCCACAAATTATCCTTGAAAAATAAGGGTGCGTCTTATGCGAGGGTGCGTCTTTAACGCCGGCAAACAATAATTTTTTGGTATTAAATGAGACATCGATAGAGTTTCGGCCTCACACGTGGGGTCCACGGTTCGAGTCTCCTAGAGCCCAGGTGAATGGAATTACTACAGTAAAGAATTGCTGAAAATTTGTCAAAATATTTGACAACTAAAGCTTAAGGTTTAGTTACAGAAAGCCTCCCTCTCACGTTCAGTTTTATTAATTAAATTTTACATTAATATTGTCTGAAAATTAATTTTGTATGACAAGACCATAATATTATATTTAGTAGTGCTCTATAATTATATTGAAGGGCAGTTCATAATACAAGTATTGCAAATACTGTACTGTATAAATCCTTAATCTTCATATTAATACTCTACAAAACCATCTATACTTGTGCATCTTTTTATACACATTTTCACATACAGTACTGTACTGTAGTATACCAATTTGCATTCAACTATTTTGCTACGTACCATCTCCACAAATTATAGTGGTACTCACTTCATCCATTTATCTAATTCATCAATCCCTACCTACACATTTCAATAATTTAAATTTGCATTTAAGGTTTATTCCAATGTCTCGTACAAGTACAAATAGATATACTGTAGAGGAAATGTGCAGCTTTCAGTAAATCCTGCCCATAACATACAATCTCTCTCATCTGGAAACCTCTTCCCGATACAACAGCACTTTGTACATAGAGTATTTAGTCTTCCTTTGTTGCTTGGTCCATACTACATCTTATAAGTAGAAATAGTAAAAAAAATTTACTCAACATTTTGTAACATTAAACCACATTTTCTAATATTTTCATTAAATTGAAATGCCTTTATTAGGATGAACATTCAACTTTCTCTAATTCTTGATAACAGTTCTTGTCCACGTGAGGTTAAGCTAATCAATTGCAATATTGTACGTTTATTATGTATTGGTCCCCTCAAACAACTTCCTTGATCCATTAAAAACTTGATCTATAACAAAATGACAATGCCAGCCACCTTTTATTTAACAAAAGGGTAACGTGAATAAATAATAAAACCTTCATAACAAGGTAATCTGGATGGTGTAGTGCACAAGCATGGGCTTATTAAAACAATTAACCCTGAAGCATGATGAAAATCTTCCTCTTGTCTTTCATTGAGAGGGAAAACCAGAAAGTTTGGGGGATTTGTTGCCAAGAAACTTGGCAAACTCTGAGAAAGAATAAGATAACTCCCTATCTATGTCAGTAACAACTCTGGAACTAAAGAGAGAAATTACAAAAATAATCTTGAAGCCACAATAGATGCATGGATTGATTAAGATAAAGGCATTCCTACTGCACCAAACCTGAGTGAATGCAAGATTACAATGTAAATCTCCAGTCTCCAGACACTAAGAAAGTTATTTATGTTTTTGGACTAAAAATTTTGTACACTACATTTACTGGAATCTCATCTTATAAATCAAAAAGAAGTGTGTGTGTCCATGTGGGTGGGGGAGTACAGTACTCTATATTCAATTTGCATAATGACCCTGTTTAACAAGGTATGCCCTAAATTTTATATAATTACTGTATGTCTTAAGTGCAGTCTCGCCCGACCCCACCACTCCCAACCTGATTGCCAAACCAAAATTATTATTTTCACTTTCAATGTTTGGATTTAAGCCTAATGTTCATCTGCAAGAAAAATATTAATTTAAAGAATTAGTTATGAATGTAAAAATATGGTTAGCATTCAAATATACAGCCTATTAAGCCTATGGCAGACTAATGATCATGGAGGTAGTTGGAGGTCAATCTCCAACCATGTTTAGATATGGTCTTATCATGATGACTCGCTTCTTCTCAAGTGGAGGTCAGGTACTAAAGGTGCAGTGGCTCTCCCATCAGTGACTTCTATCCTTGTACCTTCTGTTCACACTTCTCTGCACACCAGGTGAGCTTTACCCTTATTGTAGTTAGGGTGGCTTCTGCCAATACACACTTGCATTAGAGAGCAACCAGAGTTGCTCTCTAATGAGTAGCTCAGAAATCTATTTTTTTTGTATACATTACTGCTCTGTTCTGTATATGAAGTGCTTTCCTGAGCAGTACACTCAGCTGCTATCACTCGTGGCCTTCCTTTTCTACTTCACTCGGTCCGTCTAATTACCACAAGCTACCACAAACTACACAAACTTCAGAAAGCTTCCTGGCAATACGTTAGTAATTAATAAATATGATATATTTACTCATTATAATGTTGGTGCTGAATGTACAACACGAAAAAACATAATTTTAATCTGAAAAAGTATCTTTTTATAAAGAAATTAGACGAAAATAAAAAGCTGGTGACGCCAAATCAAGTCAACGATCCAAGCTTCGGTTAGGTTAAGTTAGGTTTGGTTAAGTTAGGTTAGGTTAGGTTAGGTTAGGTTAGGTTAGGATAGGTTAGGTCAGCCTAACTTAATATATCATATTTATTCATTACTAACGTATTGCCAGGAAGCTTTCTGAAGTTTGTGTAGTTTGTGGTAGCTTGTGGTAATTAGACGGATCCATTTCACTAGTTAGCCTAGTATAGCCTAGCCTTCTCTTAGCCTATCTTGAGGTTATCTTGAGATGATTTCAGGGCTTAGCGTCCCCGTGGCCCGGTCCTTGACCAGGCCTCCTTTTTGTTACACACCCCCAGGAAGCAGCCGTAGCAGCTGTCTAACTCCCAGGTACCTATTTACTGCTAGGTAACAGGGATATCAGGGTGAAAGAAACTCTGCCCATTTGTTTCTGCCTCCACCAGGGATTGAACCTGGAACCTCAGGACTATGAATCCGAAGCGCTGTCCAGACGTCAGGCGCCCCCCCCCCCCCCCCCCAACGAGGATTAGGGGGGCCTAGGATTCAGGATGAATGTGGTGTGGCAGAGCTGAGTTGCTTTGTTGTATTGGTGCTACCATCTGGTGGCAATATTGGACAGTGATCTAGAATGAAATAAGGTAGCCAGGATTCGGCTTGATAATCTGTGTTACGAAGACCTGGGAAAGGTGTTGAGCTTGTGTAAACCACTTTTATTAATTACATTTAGTTCTGGCTTGGAAATGCTCCGGTGTCTTCCTAGCACCACTGTGACCGAAATGAGCATGGTTTAAAATGTCCCTCATCATACCTTGTGCAGAATACTGATCTCACTTTGAGTGTTGCAGATTGTAACCACTAGTTTGTAGGATTGCAGTGGGATAGGATAGGATTGAGTGGGATTACCCAGATAAAATATAATTAAATTATTTTAATATTTTAAAATAAAACAAACTTTCCACATAATAATACCTGGTTAGGCATAATTAAACAAAATTATAATAATACAGGTACTGTAATATTATTTAATGTTACCATTGAAAACAAATTATTTGATATAAGATATACACTACTGTACACTGTACATACTACAAATTATGCAATAATACTTACAGAAATAGACCAATGAAGCCTTTGAGTGGAATAAAGCCCCACACAAGCCCCAACACTATCCCCAAGACTTGTCGACCCCAGTATATTACATCCAAGAATTCATCCTGTGGACACATTACAAGAATAAATTATTTTGTCATATATGAATTCATCTTACACTGATGAATAAAAAATCAAAATAAGTGTAAATTGAGAGAATTGTACAGTACAGTACAATTAGTATGGTAAAATTAGTACAGTACAGTAGGATGAGGACAGTACCACAGGCCCTCGTTGGTTGCAAGGGATTTGTCAATGAAACACCCATAAATAGTAAACTGGAATACTGCTCTTAAGGTCTTAATAGGAAAAAGAAGAATAGGTTTCTGACACAAAAAATAATAATTTTGAAAACAATAAATTACTGTATATAAAATGAAACTGTGTGTGTGTGTGTGTGTCAAGGTTGACTTAACACTGACCCTGAGAGATGCCTCGAACAGGTGACCTAACAGTTCCATAATGTATATAAACACAATACAGCATTACAACACAATTCGTTCTGCTGTTTGTGGAAAAACTAAATATGTGGTGGTACAGTACTGTAAATAAGTAACATTCCAGCCAGCACAGATTATAAAGACAACAGTTGATGAGATACGGTATTTTCTAATGTTTGGTTAATTCTACGTCCCATGAATAGTCTCTCGCCCAGCACTTCGCGAGCGATTTGGCCTGGGTTCGTATCCTTGCCGGGAAGGAGTGATTAGGCGTCAATCCTTAGCTGTATGCCTCTGTTTACCCAGCAGTGAATAGGTACCTGCTTGTGCTTGTTAAACGATTTGGAGGGTAGTATTCCAGGGAAAATTAGAACTAAGTACCTGCCCAAAATGCTATGCGTGACAGTGGCTCTACAAGAATGTAAGAACTCTTGAATATATAAATAAAAAAAAATAAAAAATAAAGTATGTGATGTCCATAAGTGCTACAAAATTTAAGTACAGTGAACACCCTCTTGAAAAGAAATGTACTGGAAATCTGGATGCAACGGTGGAATTTCATCCTGGCTATTTGTTGTAGGTTGGTAGGCTGGCCGAAAATGGTCCGAAAAATATAAGTGCGGATGTAACAGAAGCTCTGCTGTGGGTGGTCAGATATGAACTGGGTATAAGGCAGTCTGAGGGTAGAGTCCACTGTAGATTTTTCTTCTAAAGCAGCAGAGTAATAAAGGTATCCTGAAGTACCCTTTTTACTTGGCACCTTTTATTATACCAGAGAATATAATTCTTAATACAACACACATCATGGGGTATCTTGCAGTGTATCCCAATAGGTTATTTCTTCGTCCAACCCACTCCTGCTGTTAACCATGGTATTATGGGTGAATTAGATTAGGAGAAAGTTGGAAATGGGGAATCATGGTACCCTCAAAACCGATACAAATTGCTCTCTACAACCCCGAAACGCTATGCATACTACATTAGTGGCTTTAGCTATTGTATGTACTAGCTCTATCTATAAATCCAACATTATGTATGTGAATCAACTATGTATGTACTTTCCTCAATAAAATTTACTTTACTTATGATTTCCAGATTTAGAAGTACTCTAACTCTTGAAATATGTTGTGTGAACATATGTGTTTTATGTGTATACAGATTTTACAAAATACAAAAGCCATAATATATAATTAAAATTAAAGTTTACCGACGAAGCAGCCTGTATATAAAAATTAGAAATCTCTCAAACTCAAGGAAATTTAGGAGATTCTGCTTAAAACTGAATTTCAAAACAAAAATAATTCTGAATGTGCTCAAAGACCCTTTTTCTTTTTTTTTTACTTGTACACTTAAGTAATTATCAAAATAAGGCACCAAGCCATACTTATGCACTTAGTGATATGAATAAGTATGGCCCCACAGTGGCACCAGGTGGCCCTTCCTCACCTTGTCTGGCCACTGAGAGTTGCTAGTCAGGGCTCTGTTTAATACTGACCCCACACACGGGCTCTTCCCCACTCCATTCTTCTCATTACTTGATTTGGTTTTCGTCGCCATGATAATTTGTTATAAATGGGATTTTACACAGCAGCAGGTGATCTAGGTATAAAGGGAAGCCAAATAATATCTCGCAGCCCTGCCTTCACGGCTGATGTTGAGGTGGTGAACACTTCTGACGCACCAACCGCAGGGTTGCCAGATCTCAGTTGCTCCAAGTAGCGAGCTGAAGGTCTAAAAGTCGCGAATGTGTATTTAAAGTAGCCCAATATTTTGTTTAGCGACTGATACGGTTTTCAGAGTAATGTATTTTGATACATAGAATACACTACACGATTTATTAGTTCTATTAATATTAGCAATACATGTATATATGTGATAATAGGATAACTTACCAATATTTGCTGCATAATGCATAATGGGTGTGGAGTCCTTCCACGTCTTCACAATTGAAGATTATCAAGAAAATCTTCTTCGTCTGCATCCACGACCTCATTCTTGTATATTGCAGACTCATATTTAAGCATTGACATGGGTGGTTCAAATGACGAGCAACAAGTTCCGTTTTCTTCAAAATATGTTTTGATTCTCAAGATTGATGTCAAAAGCTCCAGTCCCATTCTATTTCTCAGTTTAGTTTTCACAGATGTTACTCTCGAAAATACCCGTTCAATCAGGGCATTACTGATTGGTAAGCTGTATATTTTCAATGCAAACTGAGCGAGGTCAATCAGTATGGGCTCTCCAGCAGTGTTCTTGAAAGTTATTGCCTTCGTTCAAAATGACGATCCATATGTTGGAATTTGTTCCTCGCATATGTTGGCCCAGTTAATGGTTAACAGTAGATGCCACTGACTTTCAATTTCATTAAGCTTAGACTGATCAGCTAGTACTAGTGGAAGTTCTGAAAATGGTGGCCGTTTGTGGCTAAGGCATATGCTAGGTGACAGATTTTTCACCTCTTTTAAAGTTTATATGCTAGGCATATGCTAGGTGACAGATTTGTCACCTCTTTTAAAGTTTATATGCTAGGCATATGCTAGGTGACAGATTTTTCTGAAAATAGTGGCCGTTTGTGGCTAAGGCATATGTTAAGTGACAGATTTTTCACCTTTTTTTAAAGTTTCAGCATTTCCAGGAATGCGACAGAGAAGCTCTTTGCAAGCTCTCACTAAAAATTTATGGCATCTTTCTTGAACATTTTGAAGCTTTTCTTGGGATGTAACATTATTTTGTTTGTTAGTGGCCAGAAGTGTTGAAAATTCACTACCAAAGTCCACTTTCTCCAGGGGCAGATAAATGGAAGTGAGGTCCAAATTAACATGAAGCTTTGCATAATCAGGATGCACGATTCTTCTCAGCATTACAAGAGTGAAGTTTTCAAAGTCAGTGTGAATGCTACACTGATCTACTTCATCTTTTTGATAAAGTAAATTCATCCTTTCAAAATCATTTAGGATTGGTTTGAGGAATGTAAAATATAGCTTATTGGTGGGGTCAGAGTACATTGAAAATAGCTGTCTTGCAACATATTTATCACAAGAGAAAGAAGCGATTTGGTAATGAGTTATTAAATAATCCCACTGATCTAACAGCCGCGCTACACTATTCTTCCTTGCCAACCACCTTGTTCCTGACAAAGGTATCAACTGTAAGGGATCTTTTTCATCGTTTATCAGTCTGTAATTCTCTAGATAACTTTCTCTCCTTAATGAAGATCTGTGAAACCAGCTGTAGCTTTCTCTTATCATATAGTCTATGTTGGAAGGCAATTCGTCACATGCATGAGAACAGGCCAAGTGCAAGGAATGGCACGTGCATTTGATAAGAAACAAATTAGGGATATCCTTCTTCATCACAGTGTAAAGTGAGTGATGAGCTCCACACAGATTTGATGCCCCGTCCGTGCCAATTGCAAAACATTGCTTCAAATCAACTCCAATATTGCCAAAATAATTTTTGAGATGTTGATACAAGGCTTCAGAGGTTGTGCTTGTGACTGAAACTAGTCCCACAAATTGAGATGAAATCCTATTGAGTCTAGCATTATAATATCGAACACATACACACAAATGTTTTTCACACGCAATATCAGTCGACTCATCTATAATGAGAGAATGACGTCTTTTTTAGATCATTAATTTGTTCATTAAACAGGACTGGTGATATGACTTTCTTAATAAGAGCGCTGCACTTCGTTCTGTGTAACCGCAAAGAGCTCGCACCAGTTGATGGCATTTCAGCTTTCAAAAGTTCGCTCAAGTGATCAATTGACTGAATAGAAGAATGACATGCAATATATACAGACAGACAAATATCAAATTTAGTAAGTCTATCTTCCTTCTTTGATAGATCAGACTTGATGCTCATCTGACGTTGACTTACCTCCGATATAGTTTGTCTGTGTTTTAATGATTCACTGTGTTTCTTTAAATAAATTCTATGAGCTTTTATCTCAATTCTACAAACTTTACAATATGCCTTATTTCCATCTTCTTTCACTTCAGCCAACCACTTTCTAAACACGGGGTCCTTTAGCCAGGACATCTTAAAAGTTTTCTGGTAGTTAGACCACTTCCCCATTTCCAGTTCTTTATCTTACAAACAGATTCTAAAAGTAACAGAGGTGACTTCTATTCTAGATGCGAAAACTTCTGTCAACTAGGCTGTTGGACGCGACTGTGATTTGCATACATTACATTATTTATGTATTTATCTATTTATTTTATTTATTTATATACAAGAAGGTACATTGGGTTTATGAGAGTACAGAGTTAGTTTAATTCATTTATTATGCACCCCATACCCATCTTGTGGGCGGTAGTGGAAAGGGTTACAGAGGCACATAATGGGCTCAGGGACTGAACCCCACAATTCATTTAGCTAAGCAAGTTACAATCTTGATGAGCTAGTTACAAAATTCAGTATAAGTCGTCACATCAACAATGGGTTCGAGATCGATCACAAGTACAGTTTTCAAATTATGCAACCGACATATGTGGAGAGCTAGTGTCACAATTGATATATTTGTCCTGCACACCGCCCCCCATCCAGTGGGCAGCGGTGGATAGGTTACAATCACTTAGTTATCTACAGTTAGCAAACTGGGGATATTTGGCTAAAATTTCTGGTAGCAGATCATTTTGAATTAAATATTTACACATCGTTGGCACATTGGTCATAAAATTGTCTCTGAATTCACGTATCTTTTCGCACTCCATCACATAGTGACGGAGGGTGTGCGAATAATTTTGTTGACAATTTACATTTGGTCAGGTCTACATCGGCAGATAATGAGAATTCCCAGAGATACTTGTAACCGAGTCTAAACCGAGCAGAAGTAACATCTAGAAGTCTGCTGATTTTATTGCATGAACCATAAATGTGTGGCTCCTCTTGCATGATAGTATGATGATAGATGGAATTACTGGTGTCGATTTCACTGAGAGTACTGAGCACTGAAGTTTTACATTCTTGTAAATCCACTAGCACGCATAGCGTTTCGGCCAGATCCTTAATCTAACATATAATTTTAAGAAAGTATAATTTCTAGCAAAATTAAGAAACAAATTGCAGGTACATTGTAAGAAAGTATAAAAATTACATTGTAAGAAAGTATAAATTTGCATTGTAAGAAAGTATATAAAAATACATTGTAAGAAAGTTTAAAAAAATACATTGTATAAAAAATTAGACATGATAGGTACATTAAAGTAAATTTAAGGGTTATCCACAGGTACATTGCAGCATTGTATTATAAAAGCACAAATAATCAATCATTGAGTTTCTTAACGTTAGTAGCCTAATTTATGTTTTAAATTAGCCCAAAAAGTAGCAAGTATAGATATCAACAAAATAGGCAACCCCATCCTCCTAATAGAACGTCGCATTTTCACATACTAAGCCCAAATATTGTCGTACTAGAAAATAGCGGCTAGCGAAATTAGCATACTGTCCCGTTTTATGTTTTGGGTCCTCTGGTAGGTTAGGATAAGGGCACTTTAGTACGACAGTGTCTTGATGTTGGGAAACCGGCTGATTTAGGGCAGCTTTCAAAAGTAGCCAAATTCGCTACTTTTAGCCCAGTCGGGCAATACTCTCTGACGCACCAGCCTCGACCGGAACAGTCTCCAACCATGCAAATCTCTAGCGATCATTCTGCTTGGCATCTACTTCTAAATAAGAACATTTACCTGAATTTATCTGAGGGCCACTGTTTCTCTAGTGATCTTGATGGGAAGAGGAAGCTGGTGACGTATCAAAAATTATCCCATTATTCTTGAAGTTTTTTGTCCAACCGGGTTTTGAACTGGAGTAATTATTAATTATTATTATTTACGGCATTGGTAGGTAAGCAATTCCATGGGTTTATTTACTTGAAGGAACCCCATCCATCTAGTTGCCTCGACGGGGACAGGAAGCCGGGAGTTTGTTAAATACAAACCGTTTTTCCTGGAGATTTTTTCTAGCTGGCTGTTGAACTTCAATTTACGGATTCGGTGGGAAGGAGGTTCCATGGGTTTATAACCCTATGAGTTTATAACCCTATGGGGGAAATGCCATCTCCTGTTTTCTGTCCTACAATGTGACTTTTTGAGCTTGAAGCTGTTTCCTCTTTTCTGTTGCATGATTTGACCTTTTAAAGAAGTGGTTTGGATTAATATTCCCCAGCTTGTTCAGTATTTTAAGTTTCAATGAGATCAGCCCTGTCATGTCTGGTTTGCTATTCATTAGCTCCCCCACCTCTCATTATTCTAATGGCAGAGGCTACATTTATCTTTGAAATTCTATCCCCAATACTCTGCAGATTCAACTCCATCCTCATTATCTCAATCATAGCATTTCTTGGGCATCATAAGATAATTCTCATGGCTTAATTTTGTACCTTCTCCAACTTGCCCATCCTACCTTTACCAAAACAAGAAATGACAGGTGCAGCATAATCAATAAGAGATCTTACAGTACTCAAGTACTGTAGCACAGGGACTCCCACCACCTTTCCACAGCATGCCAAGGCCTTCAGAGGTTGTAATCTCTTCCAACATTGACCCAACAGTGTGTTCATCTCAGCTTCCAAACTCTCATGGGTATATCCAACATATATGCCTAAATATTTATATATATTAACTCTATATTTTTACCGTTTATTTTCAATATAATGGGCCTCAGTTTACATTTGGTCAGGTCTGCATCAGCGCATAATGAGAATTCCCAGAGATACTTATAACCGAGTCTAAGCCAAAAATAGTAACATCTAGAAGTCTCCTGATTTTATTGGATGATCCATAGATGTGTGGCGCTTCTTGCATGATAGTATAATGATAGATGGAATTACTGGTGTCGATTTCACTTTGCCTCATATCTACAAGACTGAGTATAACCTTAGATTGCCAATAAACAGTCTAAAATCATTAGTACACTAGAACATTAAACAAAATCTTGTAGACTGATAAGAACAGAAGAATAGACAACATAATGCCTATTGACCCCATGCGTTGCAACTTCTATTTACATCCAACCAAACTCATTCATATATATATATATATATATATATATATATATATATATATATATATATATATATATATATATATATATATATATATATATATATATATATATATATATATATATATATATATATATATATATATATATATATATATATATATATATATATATATATATATATATATATATATATATATATATATATATATATATATATATATATATATATCATATATATGTAAAAAAAATATAGAGCACCGCTCACGACCCAGCACCGCTCCTGTGCCAGGTAAGTCCACTACGGGCTCACCATAGCCCGTGCTACTTGCCCCGCTCCTGTGCCAGGTAAGTTACGGGCTCACCATAGCCCGTGCTACTTGCCCCGCTCCTGTGCCAGGTAAGTTACGGGTTCACCATAGCTCGTGCTACTTGGAACTTGTTCCGAGTAGCAGAATCTATAACAACAACAACATCATTCATATAACTCATATAACATAAATCTAACCTTCGGCTTGAAACATTCCAGCTTGACTATGTGTCCAGCAACTTTTAGAAGCATTTTCAACTCAAGAAAATTAATATCATAAAAGTTATAAACAACAGTCAATACTAGCCGGCAGCTACGCATGTATCCCCTGCCGGAGCTGACATTTTCTTCTACCCTCCACATATTTTGCTCACTGTGGTATAAGCGACCGTCGGACCCACTAAGTTCTGCTACCATTTGGGGCACAGTTTGGGGTTACATTGTATTACGGTGGACGTCAGTGGCTGTGAGTAGAGTGGAGAGTGGTTGAGGATGAAGGATAGGTGAGTTGTGAGAGGGTAGTAGCAACCACTATCAGTCATGAGGACCCGCAGCAAAGCGCTACACGTCTCACTTCTCATCCTGAGTACTGTAGGCCAGCCTACACCCCAGGCCTAACTACGTACACCTTGGTGGACTATATTGCATTCTGCAATCAAGCGTTCTGGTGAATATGAGATTCTGAGGATAGTTGAGAGCTGCCAGGTGAATATTCAGTTTATTTTTTAACACCCTAATGCATTACAGGTACAAGTCACTTCGTACACATTTAAACCTACCTAATCTAAGCCAATACGTCAGCTAAGCTTAACCTAATAATATATACAGTTTTAACAATTGGACATTGGACTAAATCAAAATACATTGGACAGTATTTTGATTTAGTCCAATGTCCAATTGTATGTATGATATGACGTGTACCTGTGTATATGACGGTACCCCCCGTGAAGTATAGTTTATGCCAAAAATCTAGTCTAAATATTGTTTAATTAAAAAGTGACCTTTAGTTTATGGGGGACCTATCTACAGTATTAATATTAGTTTTTTGAAGGTAATGGTACATTAAGGTTATGTAACGAGTTATTAATTGCAAATTATAAATCACAAAGTAAAGAATAATGAACATGAGATTTAAGGAAATTCCAATATATTTTAGAGATCATATTGTGCACATCCTTGTGGGCAAGTCTGAAATTAAGACTACACTGTATGCCTAACATCTTCCCTAATTGCATGCTACTTAATGGTAGATGTTGGGAATACAGGTCACTTCATACTGAAGCTGGTTTGCCAACAGATTTTAAAACCATCCGAACTTAGTGATATGGTTTTAACAATTGGAAAATGAATTTTTTTTTCAAAATTCTTGTGATGTTAAAGAGCTGGCACCAGTTTCATGAATTTTTGATCCATTGTTTACATAGTTGGGGGGGGGGGGAAACTTTAGGCAGTTCTCGAGGCTGCAGTCGCATTTTAAAGCTAGCAGTGGTTTGTTTTGTTTCACTTGTTTCACTTACTTTCTGGGTGCCTTTCCCAGTGGGTGGCAGACATGAATACATTATTAAATTTTTATCATACGCAATGTCGCGCTCTGTGCTTCTTGTGAGGAGGGCTGATGGGACATAGTAGTAGTATGACACACTATCAGAGATACTAGCTTTATGGAGCAACCAGTACATGCCTAGAATTTGGCATTTCATTACCTTCGATGCTGGTTTTTTGCTTCATTTGTGGTGTATATCCATATGAACTCTTCACTAAAAATTTGAAGATTTCAGTGCTACTTGGTTATATCCTTGGGTACATCTAAATTACAAAGCCAACTTAAAAAATTGTAGCGAAGTTTTAAGAGGAACTATAGAACAAAATTAACAAAGTTCTAGCATTGAACAAATCGTGGTCCCCAGCTTGTTGGGTGCGACGTATGTGAATGTTTTTTAAACATTGCTGGGTGACGAAGCTACACATTTCAACAATGTGTAGTGAAGTTTGGCCCATTGATGTCTTGCAAAAACAGCAGAGCAGACAATGTTTCTGATGTTTCTGTTCACTTATTTAATTTTAAACCCATGGTGGTATGTCCAGAATATTTTACCCTTCAAAATCTTTATCTGTATTCTCAATTTTTTTCAACCTTTTCCACAAGTTGAATGTTTGTAAAATATTTTCCTAATTTTCTTAATTTGTCTTTTCATGGAATGAGGAGTAAGTATTTTGGCCAGAGAAGAGGGTAGGTTTAATAAAATGTAAACTCATAATATTATTTTTTTCCAAACAGAATTGCATTGCTGTGTGAAATCTACGATGTCTGTAATGGAGGGTCCTATTGTAGGACAGTCAGGCTCTGAGAACTCTGAAGCCAAGGACATGACAACTCCTGTCCTCATTTCTCGTCAACCCATGCTCTTCAGAAAGCCTACAAAAAAGCTTGGTTTTCTGCAGCTGCAAAGAAATCGGGAAATTGAGGTGAGCTACTGTACTGAAATATCGTCTTGTTTGGTCTCATCACCTTTAGTAGTGTTCAGCTGCAATCTTTCATCATCTTTGGTTATCTCAAGTCTTCTGGTGCTCCTTGGTTTAGTTCAGTTTCTTTCCCTGGGCCTTTCCTTCTTCCGGGGTCTGCCGGTTGAGTGGACAGCACTCGGGATTTGTAGTCCTAAGGTTCCGGGTTCAATCCTTGGTGAAGGTGGAAACAAAGGGGCAGAGTTCCTTTCACCCTGATGCTCCTGTTCACCCTGCAGTAAATAGGTACCTGGTAGTTAAACAGCTGCTACAAGCTGCTTCTTGAGGGTGTGTAACAAAAAGGAGGCCTGGTCGAGGACCGGGCCGTGTGGAATGCTATGCTCCAAAATCATCTCGACAACCTCTAGAAGATTGAGCTCGGGAACTTCTTGCTCTATTATAGACCTGGAATCTCCTGTCATGTTAAATGCTTCTATCATTCTGTGAACAAGTTCAGTCCAATCTTCGGTTTCATCAGTTGTTCCTTAACTGTTATTTTCATCCTGATGTGGCTGTAAAGCAACTTGGGTTGTGCCTTTGCTTTAGCTACAATGTTTTGAGATTCTTTCTGCTTCCCTTCTCATTCTGACATGCCCATTCCTGGCTCTCTGGTACCCCTCTCTGCTGTTCTTTTAGTTTTTCCATGCCCTTTTGGTTGTGTTCCTTACGTCTTTGGTTAAAACCATGGAATAGTCCTATGCCTTTCACTGTCCTCCCTCAGGTTGAAGGAAACATTTACCAACTGCCTCCCACTACTTTTTATTGAATAAGCCCGTCAATTCCTGTTTGGACTTCCCTGAAGTTCTCTAACACACAGTATCTTTAATAGAAGCTCTCTCATTTTCTTGTTCTTCCCCTTACACTTTGCCTTTTACCTCCTGGCCTTTTCCCTAAATTGGGCATCCCTACTCTATTCTTGGAGCTCCAGAAAAACAGAACACTCAAAGTGCACAGAGCCCAAGGGGTTCAAAGGGAACATTACCAACTGTGGGGTCCTCCCTATAGCCCTCGAGGCCAAACACTATAAAGAAAACGGGTCATTGGCAAAACAAAGATACTTACAAAGAGAGTCACTCCAACTACAAGGAGACCCTGCTTGGAATATCAACAACAGTCTCCAGCAGCCAAAAGACTGAGCCAAGTCCCAGTGGGAATTGCCAGGCTTCACTTTCTCTGCTCCAAACCTACCTGAGGCAACCCACTTCAAAAACTCCTTAGAAAATTGGCCATGAAGCCCCAAACCAGGCCAGGGACCATACTGAAGAAAGAGAAAGAGGCAAGGTATCCAACTCGAGGAGGGGAAGAGCATATGGCTAAAGAGCCGTAGCAATCAGCACTCCCTCCTTTGTTATAGGGCAACAACTAGGGCTGCTAAGCAACATGATAAATCCTGAACACTTGAAGTAATAACCCAAAAGAGTGCAGCAATCGGAGAAACATCTTGGATGGAAAGACCCATGAACCCATTAGGCAGATGTGGCAAAGACAGTAGTATGATCAACGGCAAGCTATAAAGCCGAAGAAACGCCTTGAAAACCATTTGAGTAAGAACAGCAGCAGACTTGGAGAGGAGTGCAAGGACTGTCGTCGAACAAGACCTGTGGGGAAACCACCAGCACCCAACATGGAAGACAGTCAGGGGAGGCTGGGCACTGGGGAACGTACTTGAAAGTTGCCAACCCTCGACTTGAGTAAATGCAGTAAAGGGAGGCATAAACTACCACTAGAACATGAACCTGCCAACTATATGAGTGGGATGGTAGAGCGGCTGTCTCGCTTCATCCATGTCTCCGTCCGATCCCGACAGTCTTTAGTGGTTTGGCACCATTCCTTTCCCCTGTCCCATCCCAAATCATTATTCTGATCCCTTCTAAGTGCTATATAGTTGTTATGACTTGGCACTTTCTCCTGATAGCTCCCTTCTCCTAGAACATGAATCGACAATGACCCAGTAGCACATCCACTGAAGCAAACACCCTGCTTACCTGACTCCTCTGTGGAGTTGAAGCATATGCACTGCCCAGGGCAAGGCCCCTCAAGAGATGGAGCAAGAATACTATCTCTTGATGGTCGACCATCTTGCCCAAAGGTGGGGTCGACCCCACAAGTAGCCAGAAAAGGTAATGCTGGCCACTTACAGCTGAGCTGAACTAGTGATCAAGGTGCACACACATGTCGGCACAAAATACATACAAATGAATCTTTGAAATAACAAGCACAACCACTGGGCCCCTGTGCAGGAGAGAGTCCAAGGAATGGTAAACATTTTACCAAATGATGATGGCCCACAGAGCCAAGAGGCACCAGGAGGACAGCACTGTAACACACTGGATACATGAATGGCTAGTGCACTTGTCTTGGACACTTAGGCTATTGGAGCTGCCATTTGGTGGTGGGGGTGCAGGGATAACTGATAATTGGGCCTTGACAAAGTGTGTCAATGTAGCTAGAATCGGGATTACAGATGTTGTCCAAGCATTTGCTTGTATTGATGCACTCTATCTTTCTGGTGTTTTTTTCATTTGGCAAAGTAGTTAGTCTAGTATCCCTATACCCATATTCCTCTATTGAGTGAGGGATAGACACTTAAATTTCTTAGTTTGGTGTGGTACCTGGGTTTGAAGGACTCCAGGTGGGTAGCTCAGGAAGGTAGAGGGGAGCCCTCTCGGAAAATTGAATAAAAATTAATATACAGTAATTTAAAGGTGACCACAGATAAAACAGGCATAAACTTTTGAGTCTGGGATATCTAACTATAATATTTTCCATTTGTTTCCAGATGGTGTCCTCAAAACAATTACAAATTTATTTATATCAATGCTGCTGTGTACATTATAGTTATCTATTTATATGCTAATAATCTGCCCAACCACTTCGACTGGATGGTAGGGTGCTTGTCTCGCTTCTTGCAGGTTGGCGTTCAATTCCTGTCCATCCAAGTGGTTGGGCACCATTCCGTTGTTCTGTCCTATCCTAAATCCTTAGCTTCATTCCTTCCAACTAAGTCATAAGTGATTTGGCAGTTCGTATTCCAGGGAAAATTAAGATTAAAGACCTGCCTGAAATTCTATTCATACTAGTGGCTTTACAAGAATGTAAGAACTCTTGTCTGTATATTTATAAATATATACATACAAAAAATAATGATACAGTAATGACTTGGCACTTTCTCCTGATAATTACCTTGCCTTACCTTGTTGAAACCTTTTTATTCCTCATTTGAACTCCCCTTCAAGGAATTTGCTATTCCAGAAAAGCCTTCTTAGCTCTATCTTGGGCATATTCATTGTGTTTGTGCTTCTTGTGAATTACTCAACTTTTCCATTTCATGCTTTTTTCTAGCATTTGCTTTTAACAAACGGCCTGAAACAACAAAAGGCCGAATTGAAGTTAATGTAGGATAGGTAAGAAGATACTTGGGGGGAGCTGATTGTAACAAAAGCAGAAGAACCTGACCAGATATCACCATGGTTTCTGAAGGAAGCTGCAGTGATCTTGTGTTATTCATTAACTATAGTGTTCAACATTATGATAAAAATGGGAGAGCTACCAGAAATCTGGAAAAAGGGCAAATGTAGATCCAATATTAAAGGGGACAAACATGAAGCACTAAACTATAAACCAGTATCATTAACATGCATGCCATGCAAGATTCAAGAAAGTTGTCAGGAAAAGGATTGTAGAACATTTGGGGATGAGAGTGTTTTATAATTGACATGACAGCTTCAGAGAAGGAAAATCTTGTTTAAGAAACTTGATTTTCTATGGCAGGGTCACCAAAATAAGATAAGAGAAGGATGGATGGGTAGAATGCATCTTCCTAGACTGCCCAAAAGCTTTTCATACAGTTCCTCACAAGACTTATACACAAGATGAAGAGACAAGTGGGGGGAAAAGGTACTGAGTAGCTTTACAGTACAGTGTACAGTACCTTTCCCCTGCTTGTCTCTCAATCAAGTACCCAAACTGGGAACTTGATGGAGAAACAGTACCTATAATTAAACAGGGTGATAGTCTTAGAAAATATCAGAATGGAGAAGAGTGGAAAGTAAATGTAAATGACCTGGCAGAGGGAGTGAGCTTGTACATGTCAATGTTTGCAGATAATGCAAAGTTAATGAGCAGAATAAGAATTGAAGAGGAGTGTAGGGTGCTGCAAGAAGACCTTGATGAACTTCAGGAGTGGGCAGATAAATGGCTGCTTGAATTCAATCCATACAAGTGTAAAGTAATGAAAATAGGCAAGAGATATAGGAGACCTGTATTTAATTACTCCATAAAGGAAAGTCAATTGCAAGAAACAGGAGAAAAATATCTTGAGAGTAGACATAATCCCAACATTATCACTAGAAGCTCATGTGAACAGGTTAACATCAGCAAAACTGTATATGGAAAGTTAGCAAACATAAGAATGACATTTAAGAATCTGAACAAAAAGGCTCAAAGTCCATACACACTGCCTATGTTAGATCATTACTCGAGTATGCAGCACCAGTATTTATGAACTATTCATGCCTGCTGTGCCATCTCTTGGGTGGTTTAATCTTCATCAATCAACACCAGCATGGAACCCACACCTTGTGAAGCATAAACAGAAACTAGAGAAAATTCAGAAGTTTGCAACTATACATACTGTATAGTTGCAAACATAGTATAGTACATACTGTACAAGCCTAAATCTTAGTTGCACATTGGCAAAGATTTTGCCTGTAAATATATACAGTACATGGAAATTGCTCATATGCTTTAAGTGAATTGATTCTCAGCTTGGCTACCCTGCACGTTCAGACAGTGGATGGTGATGCATCTGACATAAACCACATCTTACAGAGGCCCTAGAGGGAAACTAAAGGACTCGGGATTTTTCCAAATATGGCTAAAAATCGAGAGATCTCTGGTGTCAAATGACCTCCCTGTAGAATGGGTGGGGCATTAAAAAATAAATGGGGTCAGCTTAAATCGCCAGATTATTGGAGCATGTGGACCAATGCAGTTTAAGGGTTAAAGATTAATTGAATATTCATACACTTAAAGATTTTTTATACTTTTTTTAAATTTTTTTTTAGGTTTGTATAAATTTCTGGTAAGTGTTTTAATATTATGCAGACTTAATGATTTTACAAACAAAAGACAATTTTACTAGGAATTGTATAGTACAATATATAGTGTGCATTTTAAGCACTTAATATTAGTGTAAATAGAGGTGCAGACCTCACTTGGTGGATAAGCTAGTGTGTGGTTAACATATAGATTAGCTCTATAGCAATATAGGAGAATGCATTTATTTTGACTTTATATACCACAATTGAAATGCAGTCAGAATTGGTAGAAACGCTTCACTGCATCTTATCCATTTGTTTTTGAGGAGGGTATAAATTATAGATGCATAAATGGATAAGAACTAATTTTATTTTAGGTTTAACTTCTTATTGTCTTGAGATGTTTTGTAGTTGAAATTTGTATTGCAAAATCAAATTTTCTTCCTTCCAGGACATAAGTTGGCAGAGTTTTTCAAGACACAACCAGATGACTCGTGCAATGGTAGATAGACTTGGAGTTGTAAAAGAGCTAGAATGTCACAGAGGATGTGTAAACTGCATTGAATTTAATAGAGAGGGCAGGTAAGATCTGAGAAAGATAGTTCAAATGCTGTTCAGTGAGTAGTAAAATTCTTTTGTGCAGCTGCCACACAGATTAAAAATGGTATTAACTAGTGGTTGAAGCTATATATAGTGGTTGAAGTTATATATACTGTATTTTATTTTTTATGCTTATATGCTTCCTATTATCTCCTAGCAACAAACTGGGATAACTGGAAAGACATTGAAGTGGGTAAAGTAGTATAGTTCCTGATTGGCAGGAAACAAAGGGTCAAAAGTCAGAGGGGGTCTACAAGGCTCGGTCCTAGGCTCATTTCTATTCCTAATACAGTATATGTTTGGCCTACTCGAAGGTGAGAATGTGTGTCAATGTTTGCAGATGATGCATAGCTGATGAGGAAAGTAAAACTGAAGAGGACCGTATAGTGCTGCAGGATAACCATGGCAAACCCCAGGAGTGGTCAGATAAAAATCTGTCGAGAGTTCATACCTAACAAGGTGAGGTAATGAAAATGGGAAAGGGTGAGAGGTGACCAGAAGGAATCTATACTAAAAGGGATGCAAAAAAAAAGTTTGAAAGAGTGGATATAATTTGACACTGATACTGGGAGTACAACCAAATGTGATATTGTAGGTTATGGGAAGCTGACAAATATAAAGTGGCATTTAAAAACATGAACAAGGACTCTTTCCAAAGATATACACAGCCTACACAAGACCAGCATCAGAGGATGCAGCACCAGCATGAAATCTGCTTCCTGTAAAACATAAAATGGAACTTGGATAGCCTCATTTTAATAGGGAAAATAGGACTAAGAGGTACAGTATAGGTAAAAGCTGGAAATGCAAATACTGTAAGAAATGCAAGGTAGTGTTCATACCCTGTATAGGAAGTCAACAAGTGGATGGCACTGAAAGTTGTCATGCCTCTTCCATCCATTACTTCAAAGACAACTGCATCAAAGAACTCGAATGTTATGAAAGTTATAAAATGTACCAATTAAAAAAGCCTAGTAGGCAAAGCAAAAAGATCAAGATCGTCTCCCCCCTTCCTATCCATAGTCACTTTTTGGCAAGCACAATCACTTTTGCTAGCGTCCCTTATGCTGGTAACATTTTCTTGTTCACATGTGCCTCTGGAGTTTGCAAGTGTTTATCATTCTACCATTAACACCAGAGGCATATAATGTTACCATATCAATTGATACGACTCGGTTGCAAGGACTTGTTAAAGAAACTTGATTTCATTATGCACATGAGAGCAGAAGGGATATGATCACTACATAAACAATACTGAAAGGAATAGAGAAGGTGGACAAGGGCAACCACTTTATAATAACTAGGACAAGATGGCATCAGTGGAAGCTGGATACACATCATATAAGTGTAAAGAATTAATTGTTCCCTGTACTGTGGTTAGCAAATGGAATGTGCTGAAAGACAAGAATGCTGAAGCCACTTCTACCCACATGTTCAAAATTAGGTACTAGAGTATACGACAGAATTTGTATGTCTGAATATAAAATGATTGATCAGGAACAAGAGGCTAGGAGGCAGGGCATAAGGAGTAAGGAGGTAGATCTTAATTATTGTTATTCACTGATGAGTAAGCACCACCTCCCTCTCTCCACCACTACCTCCACTTCCTCTCTCGCCACCTTCAGTGTGTGCTCAAACTATTTTGTGCTCAAATTCATGAGCCTGAGAATTTATTCTGGCGTATATATCTTCTCTCTGGAGAGCCCCTCCGGCTCCCTGGAGCTATATCAAGCTGATGTTTGTATATATTAGACTGGCAACAATCAATCGATGGAGTTTTAGTCTATCAGGGACCACAAGACAAAACCTGGCCCCCTCAGAGAGGCACAAGGAGCAATGGTACCTTGCCTGGGCTTCCCCTTAGCAGACAGCCTAAGGGCTCTAGAAACCCCCATTAGGGCTCATTGGTCCGATGAATGCGTCCTCCTAGTCCCATCTCGTTTCGTGTGAGTTTAAAGGTTGCTCTGTCCCCTTGTCTCAGGGTGACACTCGCCATTTTTGCCTCTACCATGCTGCCTGTCAGGTCAATGACATCTTTGACCCGGAGTCCTGCAAGTGGTGTTCCTTGCTTGTACTCCAGTTCACCCAGTCTCGGCTATTGATATTCGGGTGCAGGCAGCTTCAGCATTGTATGCGAGGTTTAGATTGCTGCAACGCACTAGGTTGGTTGCCTTTCCGGATGCCCCGCGGCTGCCCCGCTTTGGTTATAGAGACCTGGACTTTTTTTTTTGGGGGGGGAGGGGGGGCAAGGGGGGGCATTAGTCGCCTCAACTTTGGTTTCATCTGTGCCCCTTGTCCTTCCCCTGCTTTAGTTCATCTTGCTCACCCCCTTCACCCCTGCCCTCTGCTCCCTAACGTCTGAGTGTTTCAGAGTCGGGGCAGGACTTTTTTGGTGGCGAGACTAGGGCAGCTTTGGGGACTGCCCCTTCCGGATCGCCAGCGGAGGCATTCGAGCCTGTTCCTCCTGCCGGGGCTTTCGGGTCGTGCCAGTGGACTCTGCCTTTTCTTCAGAGGCAGAGGGTTTGGAGGACGGCTCTGCCCTGGGTCCTGACATAGAGAATCATGAGGCTGGGGAGGAGTCGACTTAGGGGGGGGCTTGGGCCTTGTTTGACTCCACTTGGAGGTTCGTTCCCTCGGTGTGGGACATGTTGTTACAGGGGGGGGGGGTCATATTTCCCCCTCCATGTACGAGTTTGATACGAGTTTGGCTCCTCCCCAGAATGACCTGTCCCCGGGTCATTCCCGTCCACAGAATGGACAGTCGACACACTCTCTTTTGGCTCTGCCGGACGTTCGGGCACCCGGTGGTGGAGCTCTGTGTCAGCCTGATCGAGGTGTCTTCTGGTATATGTAGTGCCCTTTCCTGACTGAGTGGCCGTTGGAGTCGATGCCTTTCGGCTGGATTGGTAGAGGTGAGGTTACCTGTACCTCCTATCCCAGGTTGAGTTGTTGCTCCAGGTCCTGGTTCGGTTGGAGACTTACCAAGGGAGTGTAGTCTTGTAGGGCCCGTTGTGGCCTTGGTTTCAGCCGCTGTTTGCTCGGTATCTAAACCTGAGGGTCTACCCGCGGCTCCGCCTCAGCATTGTACGTGGGTGGTTCTATCTTCTCTTCCGATTTTTGCATCTAGTCATTTTGACACAGGTTTATCACAACTTGCATAGTGATCAGGTGACTTCGTTGATGGTGTCCCACATACTGGTTTCATCTCGGTGGCACTATGAAGTTTCCTGGCGGTCCTTTCAGCACTTTCTCTTCATAGGTTGTCTTCAATTTCTGGTCGGGTTGTTTTGTCCTTTCTCTCTTGGTTGTTTCAGGACCTTCATCTTATGCCGAATACAGTACTGTCGCCTCATATCATGCGGTGCTGGCAAACTCGCTTCAGCTTGCGTTCCGGGTGGATGTTACTTCTGCTCCATTCCGCAAGCTTTCTCGGGTGTTGTTTCACCTCCAGCCTGAGCTGTCCTGGTCGTTGGGCCAGGTGCTCTCTTTTTCTCTCTTCTCCTCAGTTTGTTGTGGCCCTCTTTGGTTCATGACTGTTTTTCTAAGGCTTTTTTTTTTTTTTTTTTTTTTTTTTTTTTTTGGCATTGGCCTCTAGGGGTCGGGTCAGGGAGCTTCATGCTCTCCTCTGGCACAATTTTCTGCTGTTTCGGTCCTGGTGGTCGTTTTGTTCGTTTGCAGCCGTCTCCTTCTTTTCTGGCGAATAGTGAGACTGCTGCTTTCCAGAGGAGTCCTTGGATTGTTGATGCTCGATTGGTTTGGCCGGGGGTGCATCATGTTTTGTGTCCAGTTGTGGTTCTTCACCTTTACTTGCAAGTCATGGCCTCAGTAGCAGGGGATGTACTTTGGGTTGACCCGGTTTCTCTTCTTCCCTGTTCCAGGGTGCGGGTCTCCCAGGTCGTCTGCAGGATTATTCGGTCCAGCCAGCCTGCGGTCTATCCCCATGCCCACGACATTCGCATGTTCGCGGGTTTGGCTACTGTCTTTGGTAATATGTCTTGGGCTGACATTCGGGCACAGGGCTTTTGGAAGTCACAGGATCCTGGCTGCATGGTACCTTGTTAGTGTTCTTGGCCCTGCTCGGGCGTGTATAGCCTTGGGTCGCAGGTTGCAGTCAGTTGTCTCGATTTTGAGTTGAGGAGCGAGTGGCGGCTGCCTCCCAGTAAAGTCACTCTTTTACTATATCTTTGGTTAGGTAGCTCTGGGGAGCCAGGGGGACTTACAAAGTAAACCTGCGTTGAATGTAATGAAACTACTTTTTCTGGGTGAAGTCCTGAGGCTTCCCGGCATCCCTTCCTCTCTCCAGTCGTTTTTTTTTCGTGTTTTTGATATTCAGCCTCTGAACCGGGGTTAGGTAGCTGGTGCGGGAGGTCTTGGGCCTCTCCCTTCCCCCTCCCGGCAAACGGGAAGCTGCGCAGACAGCGGCAAGGCGTCTGTGGTAATGTCGTGCTCGTTTGCTTATTTTCTAATTGGGGAGTTCTGCTTGATCGTTCAGTTTTCGGTTTGCAATTTTTAACCAGCTGTAGTTTGTTTTGGGATTCCTACCTTTCTGGGTGCCTGACCTGGTAGATGGCAGACATAGACTGCTTCCAAATACATAGGGGTGTCTAGGCCATTGCTTCTCATGCCTTTCTGAGGGAGGCCAGGCACTGGCTCATGGTCCCTGGTAGGCTAGAACTCCATCAATTGCCAGTTGCCACGGTCTAATATATACACATCAGCCCGGTATAGTTCCGTGGAGCCTCCGGGTCTCGTCCAGAAAATGGCGTTTCATCACATTCAACGCTGGTTTTTTGATAGTCTTCATATGATTGAAATGTAACCAAGTTAAATGTGGATACTGTAATAGTAAAAATATAATATATATTATTGTATATGCTTGGATTTTATTATTTTTTTTTAAGTAGCATGCTACTGATCAACAGTTTTGAGTAATCAACATCTTTGGTGATTTTAGAAGTTCAAGTAGATGACTTATAGAGCATATTGGTAGGCCAAGACTCTCCTCTTAGAGAAATTCTAATGAAACATATGATGGCTTAGGAACCACTTTAAAAATTTATCCAGACAATTATCTCTACCTAAATCTATTGTACATGCAGTACTATTTATTCTTTTGGAATTGTGTGTTTTAGAATGCACATACAGTACTGTAATTTAATTTCTATTAAATTTGCTTTTTCAGCTTGTTGCTGTCTGGGTCCGATGACTACGATATTACCCTTTGGGATGTTTATCGACAAACACGACTGAAGAAATTGGCTACTGGTCATAGGGGTAATATTTTTTCTGTTAAGGTAAAGTGTATAAATATTCTTAAATGTAATAAATACGACAACCTGATACGATATTCAATTATATTGTCTCGTATCTTTATCTTCCTTCCTCCCCCTTCTCTCCTCTCCCACTTTCTTTCCCCTTCCCTTTTTTTCCCCCATTTCCCAGAACTTACTTTCTTGTGTGTTTTTTATGCAAATGTGCATGCCTTGGCATCTGTGTTCTTGCTTGCAAATTGGATTAGCACATTGAATCCATCAATTCACATTTGAGTATTTGGTGCAACCTTCCTTGCTCACCTTTTACTATAACTTCTATAATCACTTTTTTTTTCCAACACCCCATTTTGTCCTAATATTGAAAACCTCTTGGTATTTTTCTCCTCAGACCTCCCAATGGCTTTGTCAGGATATCAATGTCAACAGGTTTTCCCATATACCTCATTGGCCTCCAACAGATTTTCCTCTGCACTGCATACATTCTTAAGAAAAAATCTTCCCATTTTCTGAATAATTTGTTTGATACACTATATTCTCCACACAATTATATTTAATGAGAAGTAGCGAGATATTCCTTCCACTCATGAGTTGGGCAAGCCCTGGCCCCCAGGGATCTTTAAACTCTCTAAAATACTGTAAATGGTCTTGAAGATGATAGCCTACACTACGGTGGGAAAACAAAACCTGTGCTACAACTTTCCTAAATTTATTAACTAATCCCCCCCCCTCCCTAAGTAACATTACTTTACCAAATACTGTACTATGTTATGGTGAACCCCTTACTTCACATAAACAGGAGAAGAGATGTACAATGGAAATCAAGTGCTCTGCACCACTTATTTCCTCATGTGCACACTTTGGGTTTTATTCCAAGTACATCACTACTAAAAGGCCAGACTCTAGGAACAGGAGGACCAGTAACCAGCAAAATCATATTACAAAAAAATAGTCAGAAAAACAAACCCAGTGACTTTAACATACTAGACCACAGAGATGGTATTAAACATTGAGATGTACACGTCATACCTTGCCCGTACCCGTTAGTGTCTGCTTCAAGAAGGAAGCAAAATCCAGCCATGTGGGTGGTTGCAGAGTTGTACAGCTATTGTACCATGCAGACACTCGCACAAAATGCACCCAATAATACTCGAGTGGCCACCATTCAATCCCTAGCATTATAGAAACATTCTGGCTATTCCTTAGTCGCAATATCACTAACATTTCTAACTGGCTAGGACTACAAAACTTTTTTTATGCCTGGCTGTGTAGAGTCAAGATGACAAACTGTATACATCACCTAATGATGATTAGTATTTTTCTTGCTGAATATACACGAAACATAATCTGTAAATTCCCTAATTCATATTCTGCTACTATTCAGGTCCTATCACCCTTACTCTGGTCATAACAATACACATCTCCCACAGTTAACAATTCATTAGTCTCCCACGTACAATAGGATTGTAAGTTTCTCCCCATCTCCTTATTTATTTTATTCTGTGTACAGTATTTGTTTATTGTTAATGTACAGTACAGAATTATGAAACTAATGATTTTTTTTTATGCTGAACATACATTGTACATATATTTGAACAGCTTTGTATTTCAAATGCTTACATGCTTAATTTGCAGAATTAAATTGGATTTTTTATATAAAATATAATTAGGCTTGAATTTAACCAATTACAGAGGAATTAATCAAGTGCAACTTGAAAACAATAGCAGATCATTGTTTGGGGTAAAGACATTCCAAACAGGATTTTCGTTGTGTATTTAGACAGTCATTTACTGTAAAACAATGAAGGTAAAAAAATATGCTGTATGAATACATAATAACAAACCCAGTGTCTTTTACATACTAGACCACAGAGATGGTATTAAACACTTAAGAGATGTACACGTCATACCATGCCCGTACCCGTTAGTGTCTGCTTCAAGAAGGTAGCAAAAGGGGAGTAGAACAACTCCCAGAACCCCATCAAGCAGGTATCAAGCAATTATAATTCCCTTTCCAAGGCTGTCTAGACTTTCTCTCAAAAGTCAAAAAATGAGGTTCTACAGTTTGTTGGTTTTGGGAGAACTGAAGAAATGTACTCCCTGATTATACAAGGGATGTAATGTGGGATGCTTTAATAATTCAATTCTGTATTCCTGAAATAATTTCCAGTACAGTGGTACCTCAGCTTACGAATTTAATTCATTCCCAGAGACGGTTTGTAACCTGAAAATTTGTAAATCGAAGCAAATTTTCCCATAAGAAATGATGTAAATTTAATTAATCCATTCCACACTCCCAAAGATAGTAACATCAAAGTAAATTTTATACCTAATTTACCCAAATCTTTAGTACTAAAGTATGTACAAGTTATTGCTTGCCTTTATTGATGACTCTTGTTGACGTATGAAAGACGGTGAGGAGGTTAGGAGGAGGAGAGGTGTTAGTATTTGGAAGGGGAGTCCCTTTCCATTATAATATCGGGCAGTGACGACTTCTCTTCTCTCTCTACCTCCTACATTTTGTAGGAGCAGTGAGCCACAACTAGGACCTGGTTGTGGCTCATTGCTTTGCGGCTCATTGCTTGCTTGCTTGTCTTACTAAGAATCTGTCTAGACACTTGTTTTTTCCCTACATTTTAACACTTGTCTGTAGTGAGACATCACATTGTCATTTAAAAGGTCAATGCAATGGCCTCCTACAGCTTTATCTGGGCGAGTTTTTTTGACAAAACTTTGTAGTTCTTCCCATAATTCACTCATTTTCTTAATGAGGAAGGGACATCCTCTACTGCCTCTACTCACAAATATTTCCTTAGGTTGAACTTTACCACTGACTTTCTTGGGACCCATGGCAAGATATATAATAATTACTTTTATGTTCAAATAACGAAAAATTTGAAAAACACTGAAATTCTTTACAAAAAATTCAGGTGCAATTGTCACTAGGCTGGAGGCACTGGTAAACTGAGGCGCGGTCGCCGTGCCACCACACGTTAGGTCGGTCATATGCGTATCAGCAAACTATGTTATTAGAGGCAACGTTCATAACCCGATTCGTATTTTACAAAGAAATTGGGCTCGTAACCCGAAACGTTCATAAAGAAGGGTACTGTATTCGTAAGCCGAGGTGTCACAGTATGTGAAATCTTAACACTACCTTTTTTTTTTTTTTAGTTTGTACCTCAGAGTGGAGACAGGATTATCATATCAGGAGCAGCTGACGGTCGAATTGAAGTGCGCGAAGTAGATACAGAAGACGTGACTCAGGTGTGCACATGTCATCGTGAACGTGTCAAGAGAATTGCCACAATTCCAACGTTACCGAACGTATTTTTATCTGCATCTGAAGATGGTACCGTTATGTAAGCTGTTTACACATTTCCCTTTAATTCATTATCATCTTGAATACTCATAATTTATCCCATTTAACAATTGGTCCTATTAAATGGCTAAATTTAATATTATTAATGTTTCCTTTTAAAGTGATGTTTCTTTAAGTCTAAGCTTGTACAGTACTTAAAAGTATTTTAATCATTGTAATTATTGTATGGTACAAATAGTTCCATATATCAAATACAATGGTACAAATAGTACCATATAGTATTGGCAATTAAAGTCCTTTTTTTTTAAAGTCACTGGTATGATTTTTAACACTTGCCTCTCAGTTTTGGTATGTGCTGGTAACTAATGAGATCATTTATGCACTACAGGTTGTATGACATGCGAGCCCCACACACTTGTAATTCACAAACAAACAATGTTTTAATCAACCTCCGATGCCACACTGGTCGTACTGCAGAATGCAAGTGCATAACTGTTAATCCAACTCGTCCTGAAATAATTGCAGTTGGAGCCAGTGATCCATATATACGAATATATGACAGAAGAATGATTAAATTAACTAGTGTACCGGTAGGTTGAAATCTTAATTTTTTGTTTTTTATTTCTTCAGCAATTGCAGATGGACTTCATAATTATTGTATTTATAGCTTCTTCTTTATTTTCTGCAATTTTCAGATAATTGCGCAAGGATGCAGTGCACTGTCAAATTAAAAATGAAAATGCTTTATATCTTGCCTGCATGGAATTAAATCTTCCATGTTTGAAAGGTGTTTAGGTGGTGGGTTCTTATGCTCAAATGGTAGCATTTATGCTTACTCATTTGTTAAAGAGAGAGGGGCTGGAATGATTATGGAAAGTGGGGTAGAGAGAGTGGGAGGAAATACTAGTGGGATCTATTTGTTGTTGTTGTTTAAGATTCGCTACCTGGAACACAAAGTTCCAAGCAGCACGGGCTATGGTGAGCCCGTAGTGGATTTATTGGGATCCATTAGACATACCCGTTAGGGACATTGTTAATTGTGGTATAGATTGTGGACTTTATTTTACCTGTACGGTGGAGTCGCGATTCAACGAACCAAATTCAGCAAATCTCTGGTTGGAGAGAACACTTTCCATCCCAGATTTACTTGCCCGATTTGGCAAACAAGAGTTCGCTGAAGCAGAGTTTGCGTGGATATGCTTAGGTGGGCGCCTGACAGCTGAGTGGACAGTGCTTTGGATTCGTAGTCCTGAGGTTCTGGATTCGATCCCCAGGGGAGGCGGACACAAATGGGCAAAAAGTTTTTTCATTCTGATGCCCCTGTTACCTAGCAGTAAATAGGTACCTGGGAGTTAGACAGCTGCTACGGCCTGCTTCCTGGGGGGTGTAACATAATGGAGGCCTGGTCGAGGATTGGGCCGCAGGGACGCTAAGCCCCGAAATCATTTCAAGATCTCAAGATAACCTCAAGAAGGATGTTGCAACCGAGTTCACAGATGGAGGCAACATTAGAAGAAATAGTTGGTCCTTGGCAAAGCCACTGAGCATATTGAAAACCAAATTCTAAGTTTATTTTTCTCCAGTTGCAGAGGTTTTTCTTCACTAAAATATGAGCTCTTCCCCCCCCCCCCCCCCCCCCCACCCCTTTGAGAATGAGATTTTGAGGCTTTGGCATGGGAAATATGCTAGTGTAGTTAAATCTTTTTTACAGACAGGTTCTCTTGGTTGTTGCCCTTCATGACAGGTTGAAATTAAAATTTTGCTTGGTGAAATCAGCCCATTAAAGCATAGGAAATATTAGGGTATGAATGGTAACTCTATTAATATGGCTCCAATTGTGGTTTTGATAATTTTTGTAGATGGATTCAACATTACAAGAATTGGTTGAAGCCTTGGGAAAGCTATTGATGATATTTAAAATCAAATTCTATGGTTTCTTATTCCAAGTTGGCAAGGTTTTTGTACACTCAGGTATGACCCTGCTACCTCTTGAAAATGAGTTTTGAGGCTGCGAACGTGAGAAAAAGCTAGATGGGGTTAAAACAAATAGTAAACATGTTCATGTGGTAGTCATCTTCTATATTATAGATTGAAATAAAAATTTTGATAAGTGAAATCACACCATAGGGCAGGGAAATGTATCTCTGGTTACAATAATTCCCTCGCTGCAACAAATTCGGGTTGGTCCCATATAGTTGAATCGAGGTTATACCGTACCTGCGAACTTGAGGTTACTGGTCAATTTTAAAGATTTGTATCACTAATGGAAAAAATATTTAAGTTTTTAAGCCCTACTTTTTGGGTTTAAAGTACTGTATTTGCAATTTGTTTAAATAGTCTTTCCATAATAGGAGTTAATGTTTTGTGGTTTTAGTATCCTCCAGGAGGAATGCTACAGAATCAGTGGGAGAGAAGTAACTATGCCAACAACCAGCTTGATGCCTCATCTGATAACCTCCCTCCAGGCTGTGTTCAGTATTTTGTACCTGGTAAGTTTTTCTATATTGATATTTTTATAAAATAGTGGTCTAATAAAAAGTTTTTTTTTTTCATTCTTCACTAACGTTGATTGACAATTCCTGAAGGAATTTCAATCATTGGTGTTGTGTGCACACAGTGGTGACACTCCTTTCTGTTACTTCAGCATTTAACCCAGCTCTCTGTTGTTTTACATTGAGCCTAATATTACATGCTTTGTTTATATATATCTTTCCAGTTGTAATCCATCCTTACGTCATGCCTTATTACCTCTCTGGCAGTGCAGTTTTTTTTTCTTTCTTTCATTTCACAGACTTAATTTTAGTATTTTCTTATGAGTTATCCATGTAAACTCATTGCAATTTATTGTTTTACCATTTTTCTGAAATAGAATCTTTGCAGTGTCATACTTGAGAACTGTGACCTTCCAAGGGATGATGAAGAAATAAAGTTAGCTTTGCTGTTGAGGGTGTAGGGTGCCAACATCCTTTAGGGGTTGTGGGTAACCCAAGGGCTATAGTATTTATAATCTTTGGTGATTATGAATTTATTATATATACAGTGAAACCTCGGGTAGTTTAGTTCATTTATTACGCACCCCATACCCATCTTGTGGGTGGTAGTGGAAAGGGTTACAGAGGCACATAATGGGCTCCTTCATACCATCTGGTAAGGAAGATCTGGCATCACTTGCATGGATTATATTGCCTGGTATATACATGCCATATTTGTCTTTTCAGTTATTTCACTGAAAAAAATAAATGCCTAGTAATTACCATCTCATTTTTTGTATTTCTTTACCTGGACTCTCATCTTTTGGTTTACCCAATGTTCAATTCAGAGTTTATTGATTCGTATTTATGTTGATTATTTGTAGTCGATTATACTTGGTGTTGAGCTACCCATATGACGCTCTATTAAACACGCAAAGATTATTTTACAGCATTGAGTATACTACAATATAAGTGGGATTTTTTGCAGTTTGTAGATGGATCCATTTAAAAGTAGATATAGATCCATTTAAAAGTAGATATAGATCCATCTAAAAGTAGATATAGATCCATCTAAAAGTAGATACACATCTAAAAGAATCTCGTGCCCATCTGTGTTGTAGGCATGTCTGAAGAGGGTACCAGTTGGCACTGATTGAGGTAAATTTTCATGCTTGCTGTGTGGATTAACCCTTAACACACTATACCTGTACTTCTATTTTTTCTTATATTTGCCAGCACCATTGACGTTTTAAGTACAGTACTTGTATTTCAGGCCATTTGCCAGACAAACTGAAAGAATATTACCGCCGCTATAGGACACTAGCAACAACCTACCTGACATACAGTGCAGATGGCACGGAGCTCCTGGCTAACCTGGGAGGGGAACACATCTACCTCTTAAATCCCTCAAATCCACAATATCCCAGACTTTACACTGCCAGTCTTACTGCAAAGCATCAGTTTCATTCTAAAGGTAAGTAAATGGAGCCTCCTGCATGTGTTGAGATGTACATGATTAGGTGTGGAAATGGGGAAAGTGGAAAATACACTTAAAATAGAATGTAGTGTGTTATACAATTTTAAGAAATGCTCACTCCACGTGATCTACAAGGTTTTTTTCTGTTGCTTATAATTACCTCGGATCATTCGTTTTACAACGAGAAAACCTTATAGATGGTGTGTAAAATATGTTTGTGTGTAAAATAGTTTAATACAATAATATCAGTTTTTAATTCCTTCACTGTGGCACTTCTTCTTCAGCTCTGTTGTTGTCTATGGTCAGAATATTGATAACAAATATTGATCTTAATTTCTTATGGGAAAAAGACCTGCTCTTTTCAACTGTTCCATTAAAAAAATTTGTACCATACTGTATTTTCTCTTGAAAAATGGACAAGTATTTCAATACCAGGCCTTAAGTGTTCCTGGTACAGTACTCTCCATAGAATACTGTATACAGTATATGATCATAAATACAATCCATATGCATACATGACAAGGAATTTTATTTTACTGTATTTTATTAGCAAAATGCATAACAAAACTAAATGCAGTACCTGGTGGTGCCCAGGTCTGTCCCCCCCCCCCCTTCCCCTTTTTTCCTCTCCCCTTCCTTCTCTTTTTTCACTTCCCATTCCCCCACTCCCCTTCCCTCTCAACTTTTTTTGACCATCTCTTCCCTTTTTCCTTCCACTTCATCCCTCCACCCCTTCTCTTTTCTCCCCCATCTCCTTCCCTTCCTCCTCTTTTTCTCCCCGTTGGGAGCCTGACAGCTGAATGGACAGCGCTTCGGATTCGTAGTCCTGAGGTTCCAGGTTCAATCCCTGGTGGAGGCGGAAACAAATGGGCAAAAGCTTTTTCACCCTGATGCCCCTGTTACCTAGCAGTAAATAGGTACCTGGTAGTTAGACAGCTGCTACGGGCTGCTTCCTGGGGGGTGTGTAACAAGGAGGAGGCCTGGTCGTGGAATGGGCCGCAAGGATGCTAAGCCCCGAAATCATCTCGAAATAACGTCAAGATATACCTCCCCCACCTCCCTTTCTGCTCCTCTCATTTCTCCCCAACCTCTCTTCTCTTTTCCCCTTATTATTCTTCTCCACTTCCTCCTCCTTTTCCCAGCCTCTTTCCCCATTCCCCCCTCTCAAAATGTGGAATATTTGCACTTGGCAAACATGTTATTCTTACTATTGTTACTTATATGCAATGTTGAACTTGTTTAGAATTGGAAAACCAGACCCCCCCCCATTTTCAACTTCATAGAAATTGCAGGGATTCTCAATGAGAGCTGATTCTATTAAAGTGGAGCACTGGGGCTGACCTTGCCCTGCTGATGATGGATATGTTCGTACTTCCAATGTGTCTTCCTGAAAACTTTGGCTAACCCCAAGTGTTAGTAACCCCTCAGACAAATAACAAAACAAATAGTTTTTCTTTTTATAGATATACTGTACTGTTATAAATAATTCTGCCTTTCTATGTGACCTCTTCTCATTGGCTCCCTGAGCTACGCAACTTGGATGCTCCAAATCTAAGTTACCACACCAGGCTCTTAATGAATCCTGAGCCACCTAGAGACTAGGGCCAGAATCTGATCCCCTTCTGTAGAGGTATGGGGAAGTCTGGGGATAAAAGAACCACAGAACCGATGGAAATTCCACAAAGGTGGTGCACCAAAACAAGCAACTGCTTGGACAACACTTACAACCTCGATATGAACTGTGTGTACGCTTGTTGTCTAGGTCCAACTGCTAGTTGGCACCACTTGCCTATCAAAAGATGGTGGCACCATATAATACAAGGGTCTCAGTTGGTCACTCCAAGGTATTCATTCGCCTGGTGCAGTTAATTCTGATTGCCTTGTTTATTTTACTGGTAATGGTCTTAGCCAGGCGTTACTTTCGTTTTGGACTTTGTCCTGTGCAGGGCCTGTACTTGTATGTGTTCCTTTTCGAGCTTTACATGTTCTTTTTTGTGCCAGCATGTTGCATGTTCTCTGATTGCTAGTTTGCCTTGGCTGCATGTGACCCGAGTTGCTTTTTCTGGTTGCCATTGGCATTGCCTCTGCTTTCATGGTTCTTTTCCTTGAGAACATTTAGTAGTCAACCCCATGGACTTCATTTTGGATAGGGCATGTGCTTCTGCTTCTCTGCATGGCCTTGTGGTTGGGGTGAGCCAGTGTTGGTGTTTCTTTATTTTGGTGCACTGTTGGTTTCATTTCATATTTCTAGGCACTAGCAAGAGCTTGTGCCTCCTTTCACTGCATTTTCTCAGGTTGAAAATTGGGGAGTTTTTGCGGTATTCTGCCCAGCACCAGCCACGAGAAAGTTATGGCTCTCCGCTCTGAGCCTGTTGTCAGAGTTTCTGGCTTTCCAAGGTGTTATTCAGCTATGGTGTATGCCAATGACCTGATGTTCTGTTCCTGCCATTCCACCTGTCAGGTTGATAGTGGCTTTCATCTCCAGAGTTGTGAGATCTGTCATCATTGGACCTCTTAGACACTGATTCTTATTTCCTGTGTTTAGAACCTTAGTTATCTGCATTGATCTCAAATGGAGCAAAATATTTTTTTCTTTAACTGAATAGTAAAAATATGGAATTGCTTGCCAAGTGACATAATTCAGTGTAATACCCTGCATACATTTAGAAATAGAATGGACTAAATTGTACCTCCATAAGTTTTCCATAAACAGCCTAGTTTGGATCTAATGGTGTATTGCTGCTTTTGTAATTCTTTTGTATTCTTTTGTATAATCATTTGTAATATTGTAAATATGAAAATTTACATAATTCTGGCTGATACAGATAAAATGGCAGAAATTTTAGTTAGCCTAAATGGTAACAAAAATGTTCAGTAATATATATGTAGTTGGAAAGATGAATAATTCTTAATTTGCATCAAAGTAAAGTGCTTCATATTGACAAAATACTAAAGACAGATACCTAGATACAGAACACTCTTTACTCTTGAGTAAAATTTACCAGTTGACCATACTCGCTTCTTCCAGCGAGTTGCTTCAAATTAGCTTTAAATGCATAAATTTAGTGTTTCACAATGGAAGAAAATGTAAACTTGAAAGCATATTTTTTGCATAAATTAAGCTATGCTCATGACATCCTAATAAGAAGTAAAATGGTTTACAGTAGAATATTGTGTACTTAGCAGTAACTAAAGGGGGAGTGAGATCTATACTTTACTTTCCCACCTCCTTGCCTTTTGTGCTTGGCACTCAATTTTTTACATCTATTTACATTAAAGTTATTTGCTATCACACTCCAGTAATTATCCACAGTAGCACCCCATCACTATAAGACTTAAGTGTTTGTTTCATGAATTATCAAATATATTGCAGTCCTGCATATACAATACAAATATATTCATTGCGTCTTAACAAGCCATTTCCATCTAGCCTTGTTCTTTACCATATCTGGTTGCTTGTTTGACTTGTTTCATCACACGCCATGGCCTCCCACCTTTTTTTCACCACTATAACTTTACTTTTGTTCACATTTACTTTAACTTTCAAATTGAGGTCATCGTTTATTAATCTCCTGGGGAAACTTTGGTTATTATGTTACAGTTGGGGAACTACAGAGTGACCCACCAGATACAGTTGTTTCATTACATTCGACATTTGATTTTCCCTGTAATTTGTGCTACTGGTTTAAGATGCAATTTTTGCTTCCCATGTGGCTCTCCTGGTTTTGTAAATTTTTCTGGGTTTTCCAGAGGATGTGCCTCTGCTTTCTTGGTATTTGGTATCTTCTGGATGTGCTCATTGCACACCGTGCATCATTCCCTGCTTTGTGCAGGTCGGCAGTCAATCCTTGGCCGTTAAAGTGGTTGGGCACCATTCCATTTTCCCCATCCCATCCCATCCCATCCCATCCCATCCCAAATCCTTATCCTGATCTCTTCCTAATGTTATAGTCATAATGGCTTGGCACTTTCTCCTGATAGTTCCCTTTCCCTTATGTAACTTTTTGAGATATTTGTCTTAAGATTTTATCTGATTTTGATACTAAAGCCTTTGCTCAGGTTGTGGTTTTGCTGTCTCTAACTCTGGTATGACATGGTCCACCGTGTGGTGCATAGCTTACTGCAGTACTCCTCCTAGAGGGGCACAACTGGGTTTGCATGTGTATTGGGAAGACTGCTTATGAGGTATAAGTATAGTATGGTCAGTTTGGTAGAAATTCCATTTTCCGTGTTGAAATTAATGTTATAATGAAAATTGGGCTAAAACGGAAATGTTGTGTAGCAATCTTTAACAATTTGATGGTCAATGGCACGTGTTAGTGGCACTTTTGATAACAAATGTTTTTTAGGTATACAGAATGATGCTTGTTTACAAGTACTGTACCTCCATAATACTTAAACTAGTATGAAATGTACATTTCTTGTTAACAATCTATTCTTATCCAAAAGTTGGACTGAAATGTTTATTTCATTAATGTTTTGCTTTTGGCCTTCACTTTAGGACCTCTTCTTGAAATTAAATATTTGTACAGGAACCCATCCTCAAGATCTCGTTACAATAAGTACAGAATAAAGACTTACCATTTCACTAATGGTAGGGAAGGGGATGGAGATAGCTACTTTTCATATCCTTCAGTGATGGCAAGATCTTGTAAATTTGTTTAAATAGCTGGTCTGACACTAGTGCATATTCCATGTATTTAAAAAATTTCAGAGTCTGATGTCCCTTCAAATGGCGTTTGTAAATCGGTTACCACCGCTACCAACGGTATATCGAGCCACCTTGCAAGTGGAGTAGACCGATTGCCTTCGTTTTCTCATGCACCAGTGCCTCCTTTACCACCTCAAGCAGAAACTTTGAAGGCCAGGGCTAACCAGGCATTTGCAGCAGAGAAATACATTACTGCCCTCCAGCTGTATAATCAAGCAGCACAGTTAAGCCCAAATTCTGCAGTTCTTTATAGCAATCGAGCTGCAGCACTAATGAAGAGAAAGTGGTGAGCATTGAATGGAGCTTTATTTATCTGTACTGTATTTAGAAAGCTGTTACTCATTCAAACAAACAAAAAATGGTATAGTATAAAATGTGTTATATAAATGTATACATGCCTTTTATATAAATTTAGGAAACAATTACAGTATAGAAAATTGCAGGAATTGTACATGTTTGTTTAGCAGTTAAGTTAATAGTTTCACAGTTAAAAAAAAAAAGTTAGTAGTTCTGTAGAAAAATGTAAGACTTAACACTTTCGCTTGCCCTGCAGGCAACCCGACACGCACCCGCAAGAAAGGCCGAGCATTGGCCGTGAGCACGCAAACCACAGTGAAATGTTTATACTCTTTTTAGACTTTCTCACCTCAATTTTCGTGCTGCGTCATTCATTTGGTATCAAATTGTTCGCAATATCATGGCGTACATTTTAAACCCTGTCCTATAATATTTTGATAATAAATGGAATTTGTGAAAATTTATTAATTGATAACGGCATTATCATCATCAGGGACTCTGTGTATTTTGGTTTTATGACGTCGATACCGTCATCGGGACGCGAAAGTGTTAAGAGTTTCTTGTAGATGAGATTATCCCACTAGGATCAGTACAGTTTAAAAAGGAAAAAGTTCAGTATTCTTTGCCCTTGTCTAAAGTGCTTCTCTCACATCTGAAGTTTTTTCTTTTCTTTTTTTTCTTTATCTTTCTCTGACCCCCCCCATCCCCCCAAAATATCTCCATTTAAATTTTTACCTTGCTGCTTAGCTTATTTCATAAGCCTTCCACTATAGTGTAGCATCTTTTTCTTTTTAGTACCATTTCATCCATTTTGCCAAGTTCTCATAATAATAAAGTAATTGTATTGTGCATCTTAAAGATTCAAGTTTCCTAATATTTTCTCTTGAATTGAAGTCAAAATGCATTATTTTATTAAGGAGAGTTAATGATGTGCGAGTGTAAAATTCAAAGGAATACGTATATCAAAATATTAAATTTCTGAAAGTTGATAAATAAATTAATGAATACAGTAGTATGTAATTTTCATGTCTCGACCATAAAAGTTTCGCTATATAAATCGGGTAAGCTGAGTAAAGTTGGTTAATGATAGTGTGAACAGTTAAGAGAGATGTCAGTGTTGCAAAGAAATTCCAACTTTCAATTAAGAATACTTATTAATCATTGTTGGGCATAAAGGGTGTAAAGACTTAAAAATTAATTGGATTAGAGGTTAATTGAATAAACATTAAATATAATTTTAAATTTACATAGTTCCTCTTTTAAAAAACAATAAGATTATGTAATTCATTTTTATTGTTTTTTGTTTTTAAAGGGAAGGAGATATATATGCTGCATTAAAGGATTGCTTCACTGCACTAGACATTGATCCACACCATGTTAAGGCACACTTCAGGTAACTGACTTAAATTACCATTTTGATAATTGGAATTTATCTGGTGGAAAAGTATGCTCATGGAAGGGACCAGGATAAGGATTTGGGATGGGGGTAAGGAATGGTGCTCACCCTGCTGTTGGGCAAGGGCGCATGACAGGTGGGTGGACAGCGCTTCGGATTCGTAGTCCTGAGGTCCCAGGTTCGATCCCTGGTCGAGGCGGAGACAAATGGGCAAAATGTTTGTTTCACCCTGATGCCCCTGTTACCTAGCAGTAAATGGGTACCTGGGAGTTAGACAGCTGCTACGGGCTGCTTCCTGGGGGTGGAGGCCTGGTAGAGTACCAGGTCGCAGGGACACTAAGCCCCGAAATCATCTCAAGATAACTTCAAGATAACCACTCACTTGGACAGTCGGGGATTGAACGCCAACCTGCATGAAGCAATTTGGATTGCTTCCCGGTGGTTCATTCCCTGAACCGAGGGGGTTTGATGCGGTCCTTGGCTCTTTGAGGTTGGTCACTTTGGGTGACTCGTCTGCTGAGTTCTCGGGGTTTGGCTCTCCTGGCAGTTCACGTCAGAGGGGTGTCCAACCTCCTGGCGGACTGCCTTTCCCGGTTTGTTCTCATGTCCTCTGAATGGACGGACGCCACGGACTCATTCAGTTGGCTCTGCCAGACGTTCGGGTGCCCGGAGGTGGGCCTCTTTGTGTCGGCATGGTCGAGGCATCTTCTGGTATATGTGGCATCCTTCCCTGACCGCGAGGCTGTCGGGATCGATGCCTTTCGGCAGGACTGAATGAGATGGGGATTCCTGTACCTCTTTCCTCCAATTCAGCTGTTGCTCCAGGTCCTGGCTCGCTTGGTGACTTACCAGAGGCGAGATGTCCTCTTGGCCTGGTGGTGACCGGCCCAGCCGTGGTTTCCAGCACTGCTTGCCCAGTGTCCGAACCTGGAGGTTTTTCCGCGGTTCCACCACTTTCAGAAGATCGGCCCAGTTCGTTAAGAGACTGGTTCGCTCTTCTCCGTAAGTCTTCATGTTTGGTATTTTTGACTAGTTTATCACCAGTTGTATGGTGATCAGGTGGCTTCGTTGATGGTGTCCCACCTGCGGGCTTCGTCTCGGAGGCAGTATGAAGTTTCCTGGCGGTCCTTCCATTTCTTTTTGACTCTTCGTCGTTGTACTTCCCTTTCGGTTTGGGTGGTGGTGTCCTTTCTCTCGTGGTTGTTCCAGGACCGTCATCTTATGCCGAATACTGTCGCCTCGTATAGTGCTGCGCTGGCGGAGCTTGCTTTCAGTATAGATGTTACTTCTGCGCCGTTTCGCAAGCTGTCTCGTGCGTTCTTTCACCTCCAGCCTGCTCATGCATCGCCTGAGCCATCCTGGTCTTTGGACAGTGCTCTCTTATCTCTCTCCTCCTCAGTTTGTTGTTGCCCCCTTTGGTTTGGGATTGTTTTTCGAAGGCTCTTTTCCTATTGGCATTGACCTCTGGGGGTCAGGTTGGGGAGCTTCATGTTCTCCTCCAGAGCAGGGGTTTCTGCTCTTTCGGTCGTGGAGATAGGTTTGTTCATCTGCTGCCGTCTCCTTCTTTTCTGGCGAAGAATGACATTGCTGCTTTCCGCAGGGGTCCTTGGGTTGTTGATGCTTGGTTGGTCAGGCTGGGGGTGCATTATGTTCTGTGTCCAGTTGCGACCCTCTGCCGTTATTTGCACGCCACAGCTTCTGTGTCTGGGAACACGCTTTGAGTTGATCCGGTTTCCCTATTCCCTGTTCGCGGGTACAGGTCTCTCAGCTTGTCCGGAGGATTATTAAGTCTAGTCAGCCTGTGGTCTATCCCCATGCCATGATGTTCGTAAGTTCGCTGCTCTTGCTACCGTTTTTGGGAACATGTCCTGGGCTGACATTCGGGCACGGGGTTTTTGGCAGTTGAACAGGGTCCTGCCTGCATGCTACCTCGTGAACTACCTCTCGACTTCGAGTTGAGGTGTGGAGCACCGACCTTCTCTCGGGTAAGTCCCCTTTTTTCCTTCGTGCATGGTGAAGTAGCTCCAGGGAGCCATAGGGGCTCCCCCCATTAAACCAGCATTGAATGTAATGAAACTCTATTTTCTGGGTGAGTCCCCGAGGCTTCCCAGCAACCCTACCTCCCTCCGGTTGGCAGTTTTCACGTATTTTGATATCCAGCCTCGGAACTGGAGGTGTGGATCGCCGGCGCGAGGGTCTGGGGCTCCCCCTTCCCGGAGAAGAGGGGGAGCTGCACAGACAAGCGGTGCGGTTCGTGTAACATCATGATTGTTTGCTCGTTTTCCCTTGGGAATTCTGTCCATTTGTTTCGTTATTTTCGCTGGTTTTACCAGAATAGGAGTTTGTTTTGGGGCGCTTGCCTTTCTGGGTGTCTCTCCTGGTCGATGGCACATATAGAATGTTCCAAAATCACATGTGCATTTCTATAGGCCATTGCCCCTCGTGCCTCTCTGAGGGGGCCAGGTTCTGGTCGTGGTCCCCGGTAGGCCTAGAAATCCACCTACATCGACTGATGCCAAAAATTAGGACTATCCCTATCAGCCTGGATAGCTCCAGGGAGCCTTCGGGACTCGGCCAGAAAATGGCGTTTCATTACATTCAATGCTGGTTTTATGTTCAAAAACCAAAAAAGCACAAAAATTATGAAATTCTTCACAAAGAATCCAAGCATCATCATCACTAGGCAGGAAGACACTGGTAATCTGAAGCGTGACGCTCGCGGTGGACTTGTACGTGTATAAACAAACTACGACCCCCAAGACAAACAACTACAACAACCGAATCTAGAAATTGAGTACGAGAGCCAAAAACTACGAAAACAGGGGTCTATGAGAACCGAGGTTCCACTGTATATAGATAAGCATGTATTTATTTGTATATGAAAGACAAGGAGCAATTTACAGTACTGTATTTATGTACTATATTTTAAAATCATCATTGAATTGAGAAAGTTGGTAACTGATCTAAAAAGATGTCTAAAGAAAATTAATTAAATAAGATTACATGGGGCTGCTAACAAGGCAAAATTTTCAATTGAATATTTTAGTAATTTTTATTAATATGTATTTCCTCTGCTTGTTTTGTAGATTAGCTCGATGTTTGCATCAACTAGGACGAGAACAAGAGGCACAACTTTGTCTTAATGAGTTCAGAAGGCAGCATCCTGACCACAGTGCCTCACCTGCATGTACTACACTTGCCCATGACATTGCTACTTCCATTTTGCACCAGCAAAGTGGTGGTGGTAATGGTGGTGGTGGTGGTAGTAGTGGTGGTGGTGGTGGAGGAAGTGGAAGTGGAGGTGGTGGTGGTAAGTCCTTTTAAGCTTACAGTTTTTACCATTGTTATTTCAAATGGGTACTGTATGTGTAATTTGTTTACAATACATATACAGTAATGTAAACTTTGTACCTTTTTGAAAGACTAGCCAATGAAATTAAAATATGCAGAGCACGTAACACCTTGGGGCTCTATCATTTCTATAAAATATTTGGTCTGTTCAATTACTTGACAGTTTGATTGTCCATTTGTACATTTCTTTGCAACATGTATATTCAATAAAATATTGAATTAAAAATCAGTAGATCAGTCATAGTTTAGCATAGTTGTTTTAAAGCTTCCCAGGTCTTTTTAATGATTCAATAGTACAGTACTGTATACAGAAGAGGATGTTTCACATTTCACTGCAAAGTCTTGAGTGATGGTGGATTTTAGGGTTCCTTTTTTGTGGAACCTTTAAGCTAGAAGTTTGTGAAGTATTCCACAGTGTGCTGGAACCCATTAGATGGATATATCATATCCTTTTGAAAAATGTTTATGGAGAAGTTGTAAGCATGAGTTGACAAGCACTGCATGTTTTGGTGTAGTATGGAATGCACCGAGTTGCACTTTTGGAGTAAATTAGATTTTGTATTTCTGAACTGGTAATATTGTAATTACTTGAAGAGCTTGGTATAAAATATACAGTAGTGCTGTGAATATTGATAACCTGTGACAGTTCATTGTTGTACAGGATGAGAGATCTATCTGTGTAAATTGCAGTGATATTGAGGTAGCAGTTTTTCATTGTGCACACGAAGGTTGAGACCGTGGCTGATTTTTGCATGTTGCCTCCTGGTTGTCTGTGTTAGTTGTGTATGACAAAGTGGAAATAGGTTGTGTGTGAGAGAGAGAGGGGAAGGGGGCCAAGTTTTTTTTATATATTTGATTCAAGATTGGAATTTATAGTACAGTATTGTAATTCATATTTTTTAACTAGTTATCATACAGTATTTAATTTTTTTAATTTTCTATTTTTGTAGGAAATAATGGTGATGGAGACAGTGACGATGAAGGGCTCCTGGGTAGTCTTCCAACTCCAAGCACTCAGGAGCAAGATTGGCGGACACGAGCAGCCGATTACTACAAGTCTTACTGTGGCCACTGCAATACTACCACAGACATTAAAGAAGCAGTTTTCCTTGGAAAGTAATTGTCACTCATAATTATGTATGTTAAATCTTTGCTAGACAGATACTGGAAACACTTCCTTGGAGAAAGTAAGGGAAAAATAACTCTGCCATTAATGGTTAGCACCTCTGGCTACACTCGCCTGCATTGCCACTACTTTACATTGTACTTTCAATGAATAAGATGTTCCTATATTAGCCTCTCCTCTTATATTTGTATTATTTTCTCCTATTTCTCTCCTATCGGTTCCTACTCACATTTTTTTCCTGAAGCCATTCTCATTCTTTTTCACAAATGTAAAATCAAAAACCTCCACCCATTACCCTGTATTTTGTTTAAATGAAGACTTTGAACAAAATATAGGATTCAAAGCAGTCGAACATGTCCATGGTGGGAAAGCATAATGTAAAAGATCTGACGTCTTTAAAGGTCTGATGATCTAGTGTTTAGGGAGTACTGTATAACCAGCAAATATAGCATCAGCTAGAAAAATTATAGGATGGATTACAAGAACTTTCAAATCCAGGGATCCCATCACAGTACTATTCAAATCACTTTCTGTCCCATCTTGAGTTCTGCTCGATACATGCTAAGAGAGCAAGAGAGATTACTGGAACAGAGGGAATACAAAACATGTACAGCATACATAAACACGACAAAGCACTTAAACTACTGGGATCATCTCGGTGCTTTCAAAATTTACTCTAGAAAGGAGGCGAGAGGTATCCAATAATGTACAAATGGAAAATACTAAAGGGCAAGGTGCTAATTTGCAAAGTAAAATAACATACTGGAGTGAACAATATGGAAGGAAATGCAGAATAGTCACTAAAGAGTAGGTGTGCCATAGGCACAATTAGAGAACACTGCATGAATACCAGAGGTCCACAGTTTTCAAAATCCTCCCAGCAAGTGTAAAAAATACTGTCAAAACAAAAGTGGAAGTCTTCAAGGAAAAAGGGAAACTCAAACTTCCTGTTAAGTGCTGTATATGAGTACGGTACAGTACTGTGTGTTTTGGATTGACAACATTTACCATTTTATTCATGAAACACCTTAAGGAAAATGACAATTAAGTTCAGACTAATTAAGAATAATTGTTATTCACACTTTTCTCCATAAAAAATATTGTATCAGTGCTTTGCACTTGACATTTGGTAATTTTTAGGTGCTGTGAACAAATCCACAAGCGCCTTGAGGGTTCAAACCTAGGCGCTGAGTGTTCCCAGACACGCATTAGTCAACTGTACCCTGAACTGAACATAGGTGTGACCCCTCATCAAGGCCCTTGTGGATTTGTTCACTTGATGTATCACGTTATTGTGATCTCGGTGTGCATTTTAGGTGCTATGTCTCTTGAGTGACTTTCAATACACATTGTCATGTTTTGTGCTGCAGAGATGGCCAGTTTATTGCTGCTGGTTCCGATGATGGGAACTTGTTTGTTTGGGATCGGCACACAACCAACCTTATACGCGTTATACCAGGAGATGAATCCATTGTCAACTGTGTTCAGTGCCATCCTCACACCTGTCTCCTAGCAACCAGTGGAATTGAATCTGTTGTCAAACTTTGGGCTCCTTTGCCAGAGGTAAGTGTATTTTCTGTATTAAATATAGTATGCATACATTATAATTACCCTGTGGTACATAATTTTCAAGTCCCTATATATATCATTCAAAATGCCAATATGAGAAGAGAAAGATAAGGTAAACAAGGTCAAGGGATGCAGATTTTACCAAGGATTATATGGAGGCATGTGACTGAAAGGTACAGTGGGAAAGCAATATTTCTTATTGAAAATTGGGACATTCTCTAAGGAGGCAAGTATATTTGTGAAACAAGGCATTTCTGATGGTATGATAGTCTGTTTAAAGACGTGCCCATAATTTGATAATTGTGACCATGGAGTGATAGCCCACAAAATGAGGTCAGTAGGAATAACAGTTGAAGTAGGGTGATGGATATTAAATTTTGTAAATCCAAATGCAAAGAGTAACAGTAAACACAATAAAATACTCCAAACGTAGTTAAAAGCTCTGTACCTCAGCACAGTCTTTGCACCACTGATTTTCCTTATTCTCATATCAGATATAGACACAAATACAGGTCACAGCTTTGTGTCATTTTTTGCACATGATACAAAAATCAGCATGAAAATTACATCTGCAGAAGACATTTGAAAACTACAAGCTGATTATTAATAAAGTTTTTGATTATGCAGCAGAAAATAACTTTGTTTAAAAGTGATAAATTCCAGGTACTTGGGTATGGTAAAAATGAAGACCTTAAACAAAATACAGGGTACAAAACGATAAAATGTGCCCATTGTAGGAAAGAAACATGTACAGGATCTGGGAATAATGATGTTTGACGACTTAACATTTAAGGAGTCTGTTAGAAAAAAGTGATAGGGTGGATTTCAAGAACCTTCAAATCCAGGGATCCCATTGCAGTGCTCATACTACTCAAATTGCTGGTGCTATCTCATCATGAATACTGCTAGATACTCACATACCCTTTCAGAGCAGGAGAGATTGCTAAAACAGAGGGAATACAGAGAACACACATGATATGCATACACAATAGAGCAATAGATCTGGAAGATCCTGTGTATCGAATTTACTCAGTTTCTATGATCGAGCAACAGAGATATTACAGGAAAGAGATGGTTGGGTAGACTGCATCTATCTGGACCTAAAAAAGGCTTTTGACAGAGTTCCACATAAGAGGTTGTTCTGGAAACTGGAAAATATTGGAGGAGTGACAGGTACGCTTCTAACATGGATGAAAAATTTTGACTGATAGAACAATGAGGGTTGTGATCAGAGGCAATGTATCGGACTGGAGAAATGTCACAAGTGGAGTACCACAGGGTTCAGTTCTTGCACCAGTGATGTTTATTGTCTACATAAATGATCTACCAGTTGGTATACAGAATTATATGAACATGTTTGCTGATGATGCTAAGATAATAGGAAGGATAAGAAACTTAGATGATTGTCATGCCCTTCAAGAAGACCTGGACAAAATAAGTACATGGAGCGCCACTTGGCAAATGGAATTTAATGTTAATAAATGCCATGTTATGGAATGTGGAATAGGAGAACATAGACCCCCACACAACCTATATATTATGTGAGAAATCTTTAAAGAATTCTGATAAAGAAAGAGATCTAGGGGTGGTTCTAGATAGAAAACTATCACCTGAGGACCACATAAAGAATATTGTGCAAGGAGCCTATGCCACGCTGGTCGGCCGAGCGGACAGCACGCGGGACTTGTGATCCTGTGGTCCTGGGTTCGATCCCAGGCGCCGGCGAGAAACAATGGGCAGAGTTTCTTTCACCCTATGCCCCTGTTACCTAGCAGTAAATTAGGTACCCGAGTGTTAGTCAGCTGTCACGGGCTGCTTCCTGGGGGTGGAGGCCTGGTCGAGGACTGGGCCGCGGGGACACTAAAAGCCCCGAAATCATCTCAAGATAACCTCAAGATAACCACGCTTTCTAACTTCAGAATTGCTTTTAAATACATGGATGGCAATATACTAAAGGAATTGTTCACGACTTTTGTTAGGCCAAAGCTAGAATATGCAGCAGTTGTGTGGTGCCCATATCTTAAGAAGCACATTAACAAACTGGAAAAGGTGCAAAGACATGCTACTAAGTGGCTTCCAGAACTGAAGGGCAAGAGCTATGAGAGGTTAGAGGCATTAAATATGCCAAAACTAGAAGACAGAAGAAAAAGAGGTGATATGATCACTACATACAAAATAGTAACAGGAATTGATAAAATCGATAGAGAAGATTTCCTGAGACCTGGAACTTTAAGAACAAGAGGTCATAGATATAAACTAGCTAAACACAGATGCCGTAGAAATGTAAGAAAATTCACTTTCGCAAACAGAGTGGTAGACGGTTGGAACACGTTAGGGGAGAACGTGGTGGAGGCCAAGACCGTCAGTAGTTTCAAAGCGTTATATGACAAAGAGTGCTGGGAAGACGGGACACCACGAGCGTAGCTCTCATCCTGTAACTACACTTAGGTAATAGGTAATTACTTAAATAATTAGGATAGACTCGAAGCTCTCAAAATCCTCTTGCTAGAAAGGAGATGGGAGTAGTATCAAATAAATGCATGGAAGGTACTGGAAGGCCAGGTTCCAAATTTGCACGGTAAAATAACATACTGAAGTGAACGATATGGAAGGAAATGTAGAATAGAGCCAGTGAAGAGTAGAGGTGCCATAGGTACAATCAGAGAATACTGTATGAACATCAGAGGACCACGGTTATTCAACATCCTCCCAGTCATTATAAGAAAATATTGCCGGAACAAAAATGAAGGCCATCAAGAAAAAACTGGACAGGTTTCTGCAAGAAGTGCCAGACCAACTGAGCTGTGGCGGATATGTGGGCTTGTGGACCACTCTAAGCAACAGCCTGTTGGACCAAATTATTACAAGTCAAGACCTGGGCTGGGCTTGGGAAGTAGAACAACTTCAAGAACCCCATATAGATCTATGTAATAATTGCAAAAGCAGTATGTTTCATTGTTCAAAGAACATAACATGATGTTGTACATACTAGTGCTATATATAATTGAGCAGTCCTATGCACCACATATTTTATTACATAAATTTCTCCAATGACACAATATTGAATATTGTTACTGCAAAAAAAAAAAAAAAGCTGAGACATTGAAGTATATATATGCAAAAATACTTGTGTGGCAACTCCTGCCCCAAACCTGACCCTGAAGTGACTCTATGGTGCGATTGCTTGATGAACACTCATGAATTGTGACGTCATCGCAAGATTTCCTCAATTCACCATGGTCAAAGTAAGTTGCATAAATTTGTATTATTATTTTTCCCATAATTAGGGAACACATTAATTATTAAAAGGGGGATAAAAATGTCTCCAGTTTTAAATTTTTCCTTGTACAGTACATTATATGTTATCACACCATAATGCTTTTGTGGAAAGCATTATATACTAATATGTAACTATATATTTCAGATGGATAATGACAGTGAACCATTCTTGGACATAGAAGAGATTGCTCAAGCTAATCAGCAACGCATGCGTGCCGATCCTTTGGAAATGATGCTGATGCATATGGGTAACATGGCACATGTTCTTGGCGGGGGCATAGGAAGTGGTGAAGGAAGAGGGAGTGGAGGAAGACCAAGTCAGGGCAACAATGACAATCCTCCTCGGGATCCATCCCCTGGGGGGCCCAATGACCGAAATATGGCAGATGTACAGTGTCGTACTAGCTGAGATTGAATAAGTTTCCAACACCTCGTTGGCATTCTTCTCCAGCAACAAGACTGTGATGGGCTCCACTGACTTAGGTCTGAATTCTGAAGAACCTTTAAATTAACTTAGGTATTGTAGTCCACAGCATAAAGTCATTGTGAATAGTATGGCTGATTAAATACCAAAGAATGATTCCTGAAATGGGTATTTCAGGGTATGGACCTTTGTTGCAGGAGTCTCCTTAGGTATAGATTGTTTACCAAGTGACTTAGGACAGAGAACATAAACTTAACCTATCCTTTAGCTAGCTTAACAACAACCTTCCAGAATATGGTTCTTAAAAAAAAAATATTGGAACCATCCCAAAAATTGTAATGCAATGAATAATTGAATAGATTATTCAGAAATACATATGTAAAGGCAAAACTGTTTTCTTGGTAATTGTTGTTCTCGCAACACAATCTTCATTGGTAATTTATTTTGCTCGTCTTTAACTAGAATGTTGTCTATTGTCCAGCAAAAATGCTTAAGCACCCTGTCATGCATTTGGCTTGGCGCTTTCTCTGATAGTTCCTTCCCTCCCTGTCGTGCATTCCTATCCTATATACTTGGCACATTAACAATCCTTATACAGTACTGCAATTACACGTGCCACTGTTTTTCTGGGTTTGGTATCCCCTCAACCATTTATACCTTCCTCCCCCCCTCCCCCTCTTCCATTAGGTAGTTGTACCTAAACCACTTCTGAACTCGTGGATACCCACTTGTCTGTCTTCATGTGTGATCCATATTCTTTATATGTAACTAGATGGAGGGGTATCCAGCAGTGCCTGGGTGCCCTTTCCCTTACCTCATTCTTCCCACACCTGACCCTCCCTTTTCCCCATCTACCCTCCCTTCTCCCTATTCACCCCTCCCCCATTTCCCCTCATCTTACATCACCCCTACAAATATGGGTAAGGTAGCTCCCAAGCAGCTGGTCCCCCAACTTTGAACAGACCTTCTCTCCTATTATAGATTGTCGTTTTTGTCCGAAAATGTCTAGTCTGCTTCAACATTCGACAATTCTTCTTTTGCAAATCTATTTCGTACACCTTTTTGGTAAAAACTTATTGCTTTTTTGAAGGTTAAGGGGCATTTTTAACCACAAGCAAGATGGACACATTAAGGTAGCATTACTCCCTTGCACATTCACTCCTCCCTACTGTTGCATCTCTTCTCTTCTATATCATTTTTGTGATGTTATTTTTAAATCAAAATCATGTACATCAAGTGGTTCTTTTACTACCAGTTAACTGAAAATTTTAATTTGTTTCTCAAACAAAGTGTGTTTTCACCACGATGAAATTTGAGGTGTGATATGGTATTGTCAAAGGTGAATTATCGTCACCGCCAAGATATTTTTAATTAGCAGAATAACCACTAAATACTGTAATATCATTAATGATGCTAGAGAGGTTTGCAATTGCAGAATGAGGCAGTGGTTTGGTACCTAATTACATTCTTGTAGTTAGACTATGCTACTAACATTCAGTATACTTTATTGAAATAAGTTATATACCTCCATCATGCAAGTGTTTGCAGTGGCACAGGAATAAGACTTGAGATTATTAATGAAGCTTTCTCTCCATTAAACTGTAGCACAAAAAATTTGAGTGCATTAAGTAATTATGGTAACGCTTTTTCACCAAATACTGGAAAATTGTACCGAATACTAATTAAATTTTAAAGTACCAGTACTGTACAGTATTTAAGCTCCTGCCAAGCTTCAAAGCAACTTTGTGTGTTGGGTTGCTAAATATATTACATATATATATATATTGGTGCTGTATTGTGAAGTTTAATGCCTGTATATAATTGTGTGGAGTTTATATTTTGTAAAATGAATTTGATATAATGAACTTACAATGAACAAGAGTTCACTTGTAGTATTTGCCTACAAAGTGTCAGAATACCTCCAGTTGTACTTGTACATACATGTATATGCTTTAAAAAAAAATGACCTCCATAGGAGGTTGGTTTATTGCTATGACTATTGTTTTAATAAAATATTGATTTTCCTTTTCTTTTTATTTAATTGCTAAGAACTTGCTCCTTTTGGGAATTTGTGCCTTGATGGAAAATTGTGAAACAACTCTAAAAGTAAAAAGAGAGAGGGTAAGAATTACAAAGGGGCAAAGCTTAAGTCACATCATGTTTGTTAAGGTTGGAGCATTTACGTATATATGTTCCGAACCTTAATGGAATCTGACCCATATATCAATCAGGTCAACCCATGTGTTGCGTTTCCAAAAGGGTCGCCCATGTTAGAATCGGTGAACGCCCTAGTAATATTGTTGAAAATGTCTTAATAACTTATTAAACCAAAGGTCTTTTTATGTCAGAAGAACGGCAGAAACTGGATCTATATATGAAAACTCTTTCAGGACAAAGTTTAAAGTAAAACTAAAGATATTTGTGGTTGTATAAAAGTTGCATTTTTCATCGGTCGTAGAGCCGGAAATCCGCAATATTCATCTCGGAACAATGCTTATTTCACGCAGAATCGTTAATAAACGTAAGATTTTTATACGTCTCAAGAAAGATAGAAACATAATCTTCATTTTAAATGCCTTACCATGGGCATATTTGTATTTAAAGCAAAGATACGTGTATTTTTCTAATCGGCGAGCTCCGATCCCGCACAGATCGAGCAACGGAGTAACTCTCTCTCAGAACAATGCTTATTTCACGTAAATTCGTTAATAAACGCAAACGTTTTTATATGTGTTGAGAAAGATAGAAATATAAGCTTCATTTTAAATACTTTACCATAGATATATATAAAGTTCTAATGAAGATACATGTGTTTTAATAATCGCCAAGCTCCGACCCCGCACAGACTGATTGACAGAGCAACTCTCTCTCAGAACAATGCTTATTTCACGTAAATTCATTAATAAACACGTATGTTTTATATGTCTCAAGAAAGATAGAAATATAAGCTTCATTTTAAATACTTTAACATAGACATATATAAAGCTCAAGTGAAGATACATACGTTTTTATAGTGGCATTCAGTAGCTTGTCGGTCATGGAATGCAGAAGCCTACGCACTTGCCAATATAGTGTGTAATTAACAAAGATACGCTTATAAAGCCTAAAATATTATATGCCTTCAGAAAGACAGAGATATGCTCGTTATTGTGAGTGCACCAAAGGAAATATATCTTGTTGGAGGACAAAGATATATCAATTCTAAAATAAGTTTCGACTCTCGCTCGGGCGAGAGATAGCGCGACTCTCGCCCCATCTATTGGAGATTCTGTTCACCTAATGACCCAAGCTACTCAAAGCCTCCTAGCATTACTTAAATAATGAAGAAATATGGTATATTTATTCACTATAATGTTGGTGCTTAATGCAGAACACGAGAAAACATATGTTTACTATAAAATAATATACTTCCATTATGAAATAAGTAAATATGTGGCCTCATAGGAAGTCAATGGTCCAGGTGTCAATGTTGTGGAGCGACTTATCCAAGATATATTGTTGTCTGAAAAGTGTTTGTTGGCATATCAACCTTCTGTACACAGTGATCCAGTCGTCGCACTTCTCTCCTTAAATGATCGCAAATTTAGTTTATTATATTAACAAGTAGAATACGTATTTCTAATAATATCTAACATAACTAGCCAGAAAATATTTAAGACTTATTGAAAAATACATGTCTGGAAGTTAAATCGACTTCATAGAACAATAGTGTTGGTCTATACTAATCGTTATTCGTTAGTATGCGTTCACTACTTAAAACATTTACTGTACTGATGTAAAATCTCCCATGTCTCTTCACACATGGAACACCGAACCTTACACACTCTCTGATATATTGTTTAATTAATGGCCACTGCTTGATCGCAAGCGGGGATGTTTCTGATGGGGGAGAAAGAAACATTTGCGCAGTGCGTCCCGCGGCGTTGCGCGGGCAGTCTGGGCCCGTATAAATACTGGGGCACAGAGGGGCTCTGCCTTCACTCCGCCTGCCCCCGCCGCTGCCCTCGCAAAGTCGATTTACAAACATAATATTGGATTTAAATATAAATAAATATAAATATGTTTATTCAGGTAAGGTACATACATACAAGTGATGTTACATTAATGGATCAATATATAGATAGAGCTAGTACATACAATGGCTAAAGCCACTATTACGCAATGCGTTTCGGGCAGGAAGAACATTAATATCTAGAACTTAATACTAATTGAGCATAAAGAATAAAATGTGTTGAGAACAAATACAAATAAAGATAAAAAAAGGGGGGTATATGACTGAAAAGCAGCACAAATACAATAGGTTACAAACAGTGTTCATTAAAAAAATAACAGACGTGGGTTGACAATAAGTAGGTTACAGGGAATTTATTAGGTAGTGTTTAGTTTTTAACTTAAACTGGTTGAGAGAGGTACAGTCTTTAACATGGTTGGGAAGGTCATTCCACATTCTGGGCCCCTTGATTTGTAGAGCATTTCTAGTTTGATTAAGTCGTACTCTAGGAATATCAAAACTGTATTTATTTCTGGTGTAGTGCTCATGGGTTCTGTTACAACCTTCTATGAAGCTTTTGAGATCAGGATTGGCATTATAGTTTAGTGTTTTATATATGTATAATACACATGAGAGAATGTGCAGTGACTTAATGTCTAACATATTCAGAGATTTGAGTAGGGGTACCGAGTGATGTCTGGGGCCAGAGTTGGATATTGTCCTAATAGCAGCTTTGTGTTGAGTAATTAGAGGACGTAAGTGATTTTGGGTAGTAGAGCCCCAAGCACAAATACCATAGTTGAGATATGGATAGATAAGGGAGTAATAGAGAGTCACCAGGGCAGGGCGTGGTACATAATATCTGATCTTAGAAAGAATGCCCACAGTTTTTGAAACTTTTTGATATATTTAGAATGTGTCCCTGGAAATTCAACTTGTGGTCAATGAGAATGCCAAGGAATTTGCCATCTAATTTGTTACAAATTTGGGTATTGTTTATTTTGAGATTTATTTGATTAGAGGATTTATTGCCAAATAGAATATAGAAAGTTTTGTCAATGTTGAGGGTGAGTTTGTTGGCAGTTAGCCAAAGATGGACTTTATTTAGCTCAGTATTTACTGTGGCATTTAGAGCAAGGGGGTCAGGACTGGAGTAAATGAAGGTTGTGTCGTCAGCAAATAGAATTGGTTTGAGGTGTTGGGAGGCATTTGGAAGGTCATTAATGTAGATGAGAAAGAGGAGAGGGCCAAGTATGCTGCCCTGAGGAACACCAATGTTGATGGGTAGGGTGGGAGAAATTGTATTATTCACAGAAACATATTGGAGCCTGTCAGTAAGGTAGGATTTGAGGTATTGCAGGGAGTGTCCACTGACTCCATAATGATGTAATTTAAGAAGAAGGTTTTGGTGGTTGACAGTGTCAAAAGCTTTACTCAGGTCCACAAATAACCCAACAGGGAACTCATTTTTATCAAGAGCTGTATGAATCGAGTTAAGCATACTAATAAGTGCATCGTTAGTGCTTTTTTTGGGTCTGAAGCCATATTGGCAAGGGCTAAGTATATTGTGTGTGGCTAGATATGAGTAAAGCTGCTTATAGATTAGTTTTTCAAAAATTTTTGACAAGTTTGGCAGGATTGATATAGGTCTGTAGTTGTTAACATCTGTGAGATCACCACATTTGTGGACAGGCGTTACTCTCGCTTTTTTAGAATATCAGGAAAAGTTTGGAGTTCAAGTGACTTGTTGAAGAGCAATGCAATAGCAGGGGCTAAAGATCTGGAGGCTTTTTTGTAAATTAAAGTTGGTATCTCCTCAAGGGCACGCGCACTAGACTTGGTTTTAAGGGAAAGGATTATCTCATTGACGTCAGTGGAATTAATAGGCTTTAGGTACAGAGACTGTGGATAGTTACCTGTAAGATAGTCCTTAATGTCAGTACTGGAAGATGGAATATCATTTGCAAGGGATGAACCAATGGAAGAGAAGAACCTATTGAACTCAATAGCAGAATCAGAGGCTGAAAGCTGACCATCGTTATTGGACATGAGTGTTGGTTTGTTATTTAAAAGACTTCTTTGATCCCAATATTTGTGAAATTGTGCTCCAAGTTTGTTTAATGTTGCTCTTTATTTGGGTAAATTTATAGATAGAGCTAGTACATACAATACCTAAAGCCACTAGTACGCATAGCGTTTCGGGCATATTATTGAGAGAGGAAAGATATTTATATTTAAATTTTTTTTTTTTTACCGACGCTCTCCCTATTGATGAAAACTACAACCTAATGAAGATAAATGTTAATTTTATGTAGATACTGTAATAAACGAAAGTTTTTAATGTCATCAGAGAAGCAGAAATATAGGCAAATTTTAAATCCCTTGTCATAAATATAACTGAAGTGAAAGCAAAGATATATGCATTTTGATAGTTACAAAGACAGCTCTTTAACACGGGTGGAACACGAACAAGGGGAACTTAGTACCCAAATGAGCCACAGAGATATTAGAAAGAATTTTTTCAGTGTCAGAGTAGTTAACAAATGGAATGTATTAAGCAGTGATGTGGTGGAGGCTGACTCCATACACAATTTCAAATGTAGATGTGATAGAGCCCAATAGGCTCAGGAACCTGTACACCTGTTGATTGACGGTTGAGAGTCGGGACCAAAGAACCAAAGCTCAACCCCTGCAAGCACAAATTAGGTGAGTACAACTAGGTGAATACAGCTGAGGGGCGGGACCAAACAGCTGAAGCTCAATTCCCTACGCATAACTAGGCGAGTCCATAGGAATTACCGTTTGTCCTGGCGCCATCTATGTTTTGACAGCAGTACTACTAATGTTCCCACGTTATGTGATGATCGCTATACGGGTGTTACGGTCAGTTGCTCTTCTATATATGTTTATGGACAACGTAGGTGATTTGAGGCAATTTGCGGCCAGAGTGAAATAGTATCCACGCGGTGAGTGATGGAGGAGGATATATACTGCTGTGTACTCGACCAGCGGGTGAGAGGTAAGTTATATCGA